AGCAAGGTCAAGGTCACGGCCAGAGCCAAAACCAGCGCGGCCCAGGCCTCCAGCGCGGTCGCGGCGGTCGTGGTGGACAAGGTCGCGGCGGTAACCAAAATCAAAATAACGTCGCCCAGGCTCAGAGCCCCACTGCCAACCGTGGGAACCTGAGTGCTTCGGCCCGTCAGTTCATTCCCGGGGGCAACAAGCGCTCTCGTGAGGACGGTCCCGACACGACCACCGAGGGTGGAAGTGGTGGAAAGAGACAGAGAGGCGGTGGTGGCCCGCAGCCTCGTGGCGGAGCTTAAGCAGCAATCGTCGTTTATGTTTTTCTATTCCATTTATGTATTCTCGATTTCATTGACAAATGCGGTGCGGGCCCGTTCATGAATGGGTATCTACGTCTGCGTATGCCATATGGCGCATTGCTTTTCATGTTTCAACCTGCTATCCAGACAGCAGTTTCTTTTCTTTTGTCTTGTATCTACTGAATGTGTGGCGCTCCTACGGGTTTCTATTGCTACTTCCAATTGTTCCTATTGATAGATCTCAATTGCAAAGTATCTCGTGCATTATCATAACTATCCACAATACACTGACCACCGTAAACAAAAACTGGGGTATAAGCTGCTAGAAGACACGAATCTATCGAATAAAACAAATCTGGCCTGACGCAGAAGAACGCAAGGTCACAACAAGACAAGAAAGCACCTTAGAATCACTTCTTCCTCCCCCCAGCAGCAGGAACAAGCATTCTCCCAAGAACCTCCCTCTCCTTCTGTAGAACCATCAACCTCGCATCCTCAATAACCTTACCCGCCGGCGCAGGACCAGGAAGAGGCGTCTGCGCAACCTGCGCCGCACCCACAACAGCCGGACTCATCCCCTTCACACCACGAGCTCTCTTCCTCCGCATCCCAGGTCCCTGCCCATAGACAACAACCCACTCAGCGACAGATCCACAAGCGGCAATCTCACACCCGGAACACACTTTCGAGTGCGCACCGATATCCGCACCCCGACGAATCGTCGCCAGAGCCTCGATCGTAGCAGAAGAATGAATATGAGCACCGGGTTCAACCGTTGCCAATGGACCAACAGTAACAAAGTATGAAATGCGTGTCGAGATCTCTTTCCTAGGCTCGGGCGTCGATGCCCCAAACTCGGTGGGTGTTGTGCTTGCTGGTCTGGACGGCGACGGTGAGCGAGATGAGGCTGGCGGAGCGCCGATTACGGCTTTCTCGCAAATTATGCAGCCGTCATCGACGACGATTGGGCCTTCGTATGCGTAGAATTTCGCGCGAGGGTGGATGACTGTTCCTGCGCCGATGGTGACGGGGTATCGGCCTTGGAAGACGACGGTGTCGGCTATTGTGGCTGTTGGGTCGGCTTTTAGAGGGGCTTTTGGTGGGCCGGAGCTGTGGGAGGAGGAGGAGGAGCGGTGGGTATTTGTTGGAGGCTTGAGGGTCGCCATTTTGGCGGATTGTGTTAGAGGTGTGTTCGGGGAGATTGTTGTATGATAGCATGGGGAGCTCGCGCCGCTTTTTGGGGTACGACTCTTAGTCAGCTCCATAAAACGCCATGGGATCCATCCATGCATGGATCGAAGTATACGATGCACTTTCAAGTGCGGATGTTCTATTGATATAGAAGGATTGCTGTATAGTATAGGAAAATGTATTCGTCATATATTCTAAGCCGGGGTATCTAAAATCCAAAACCCAGTTCAAAGCACAACATCCCCCAATGTAAAATGTAAAATCAATTGGATGAGACTGCCATGGACCTCATGATTCCTCCGTAGTCTCTTGCTTAATACCGTTGCGCTTTCTCCAAGCTCTAACGCCCCGGTCGACCTCATCCCTGGTCATCCCATCGCGCACCAAGCAAAATGTGACGCCCAACTCCGTCTCCACGTTCCGGTTCCGCGCCTCGTCATCGAAGAACAGCATATCCTCATAAGCGACACTGCTCGTCTGCTGGATCTTTGAGAAATGCGATGTCTTATTCCCGGGGTAGATCTGAATAAAATCAAAGTAATCGAGGGCGCGGATGGTCTTCGCGTTCGCGGCGGGGTTATCGGAGAAGGTAGGGATGATGTGCAGGGATTTGAGCATGTCGCGCGCCAGATCAGGGGCCTGGGTTCGGGATGCAAGGGCCAGTGGGATCGAGCGATGTTTGCAGGCGTAGACTATGGACGAGACAGCTGGATAGAAGGCGAAGGACTCTCCCCATCTATTTGAGATAAGGAATGCGGGGTTAGAAATCGGAGTAGTTTCAAAAGGATCAAATATCAATCAGAGGATTCGTCGTACCGGTCGACTGCGCGCGAGTTGTTGTCGCGTGCCTTGACTGGGGCGCTGACATGTGTGTCGACCCAGAACGGCCACAAGGTGTAGTCCAGGTCGAAAGCGATCAACTTTGGAAGTGGGAGACCGTCGGTGAAGGTCTCAGGGGCCACAGAGGAATCCTCCAAAGGCTGAGTGTTTTGGCGCTTGGCTCGGAGCATGTTTGGTACGAAGGAACACGCGAAGAAGACACGAAGAATCAAAAGAAGATTCGAAGAAGAACATGGACCATGGAAGCGATGAAAGATGGCCCGGGGTTAGGATGGCACGTGAGATCCTTTACGGGTGGCGATTGCGACCAGGTGGAGAACATTCCCCGACCCACTTTTATAGTATGTGCATCATGGTCTACAATTTCTAGGATGCGACCTAGTAACAGGCTGGAGAATCATTATAAAGACTACTGTGTGTCTCGTCTCATATCGTCAGGAACCAGGGGAAGATAGCCCCATAGGCAGAGGCACGAGACAGCACAATGTGTGTGTTGACATAAAGGAATTCCATAGCAACAAGGTGAATAAGGAGCACTAGACAGTAGCTTTCTTCTCCAAACACCCGGGGAAGCCGAATAATTGATGATAAAAGCAGTCGCGTCAACCGGTGATAGTGTAAGCCCAGTGACACAGTGCGAGAGGCGTATGCAAGCACAGAGGCCACTCGCGAGGTCCAAATATTGGGATAATCAGAACGTCCTGTGGTGGCAGGACTGTCAGTGATTCCACTAACAAGAACAGACACTACACTTAATCTAAGCCAAGAGGCAAAGAGAAGGAGGGGAAGGAAAGGAAAGGAGGAAGCGGAGCAGACGTGTCTCGCAGTCGTTTTGTACTCGATCGGATAGATAATCCTCCGACGTGAATTCGGATAAATAATCCTCCAGGTCGGATAAACAATAGTCCGAAGTATAAAAGTTTAGCCATGAGGATAAAGAGACAACAACAAGACAACAACATGAGCAAGGGAGTATTAGACAACAGCTTTCTTCTCCAAACACCCGGGCAAGCCGAATAATTGATGAAAAAAGGAGTCGCATCAACCGGGGGTAGTGTAAGCCCAGTGACACAGTGCGAGAGGCGTATGCAAGCACAGAGGCCACTCGCGAGGTCCAAATAATAGGAAGAAAAGATTACATTGTACTGCCAGGTCGCTGCCGAAGCTAAGGCTAATCGCCACTAGTCAGTACAATGTGAGAGGACGGGGGATGGAGGGGGTGGGGAGAAAAAAAAGAAGAAGAGAGTTCCGGGGTCGCGAGATCGCTTTATACTCCCGAGGCGGTCGGGGCTGGGGTGGCAGTAAAGCCCCTGGGAGTAGCCGAGCGGTGCGGCCCGTCCCGTGACAATTACCGGGTATTTCTGGGTAATCAGCTTCGGTGCGGGGTGTTCCCGCTCATTGACCTTCTTCATATACATAAGTTTTCTCTCAAGATTGTCTTTGCCCTTGGCTTAGATCAAGTGTACCCTCTGTTCTTGTCAGTTTAATTGCTAACAGTCCGCTACTACTGGAGAGTCCGGTTATCTATTGTTTAGAACTCGCGATTGGCTGTTATGGAGCATCTACCCTGCCATAACAGAGCGGCCGAGAAGGTCCCCTAATGCATGCATCCTACATGCATGCATAGAAGAAGCACAGAGGGAACACGATATACAATGGGCGTGTAGATGCTGGCAGTTAGATGTATTGGATAGACAAGCTGTATGCTCACTGATAAGGCGATCTGTGTCATTACATCAGTTTGGCCCAATATCAGAGTCCCATAGGGCGCCATATTAACACGATTATGAAGTTTTCGGTTCCTCGTTGTACTTAATCATTAAACAATGTACATAAGAGAGACCAGTTGAGATCTTACCTAGAAGAATATATAGTATTTCTAATACACAGCTTTAGCTCCAAAATATTTAAAACATGTGTAGGTTGTCATATCAATTTGGGAGGAAAATAGAGGCTGAATATCGATGTTTCTGTTGATATCGGTATGGCGGACAATGGGAGGTGTAAACAGCCTCTTGGCAACCCTTGTACAATCGCCATTTCGACAATGGGACCCTTTAGATATTGGGTCAAATCATTGTCCCCATTTAGGCCGGTTTACCTAAAGTCTTCCTTCCTAAACATACTGCAAAGACATCATGTTAGGAGAAGTGAAGTCTATTATGTAGGACACGTCGAAGTACATAGTGCAATAGGAGTTGATTGAAGAATTGAGAAAGCTAAGTTCTAGACCATGGAATCTTATACCCCGTGAACATAAGCCCATATATATTGACTTGTGGCCCACAAATAGTAAAATCATCTTTTATTGTTGTTGGGCGATGATTGTTAGCAGGTTATTGTGTCTGGGAACGGGGTCGCCAGTGAAAATTGCGCTACGTATGTAGTTGACAGATGTACTGAGTAAAGGAACAGGAACGATATATGCTAGAGAGGATATATTCAGAGTCTCTAGTATTGAAACTCCTGGATTAGAGAAATAATATATGACAACTTGAATATGAGACACAGGTAAATCAGGGATCTAGATCATGGCCGTTAACTGAGATTGCCTTTGCTATTCTATAGTGGCCTACATATCCAGTCCAGTCTATGGCAGACATCCTTCATTCAGTCTGGCCTGTTTGCACTGGTGCTGACCCCGACGGTATAATTTATAATTCAATACTCGGCTTCTTCTCAACCTTCGTCTTCAGGACGTGGGCCGGGACCGGGCTTATGGGACTTTTCAAAGCCAGTGTTATGAGTGGGAACCAAGAAGGTCTTGAGAAGACCCTGATAAGCAATGTGAGCGTCGGGCATATTGTTGATATAGGTTCTAGTAAACACGTGAATTGTAACTTCAACGTACGAAAAAGATGTGGCGAAACTTACGAGTCCCCTCGAGAGCTGTGGTGTTCTGGGAATCTCGTCGAGCGTACTTACCGGTAAGGCACTCGAAAAGGCCAGGGTCGCGAGTGTCGAGAGCGCATTTGATTGCGGTGGGCCATAAAGCGAAGGTGTTTTCACCGATTTGGATTGACACGAGTTCAGGAATCCCGATTCGGCGAATCTTCTGGAAGGCGAAGACAATTCCCCGCGTCAGGTTCGGGATGAGATGGACTGGTCGCGTGAAGAAACGACACGATATGTGCGTCGAAGGAGGGGTGTCGATCGCCCCGAGAAGCGGATTGCTGAAGATGTAGAGTGAGTCGTAGGAGAGGCATGAGAGTGACCGGCAAAGTACAGGGGTACGTCGGTACGACTGCTTGCAAGTGGGAACACTGCGTAGGTGGGTAGCATGGCTGGTTGTCGCTTCGACGAGAGAGGCACTTTTAGGCTGATGATGGTGATTGTGGCAACGGTGACGCTTCGAAGGTAGAGGCACTCGGAGGTTTGAACGCAAAGAAGGAGCTTGAATAGAGCTCCCGATGGCTCATATGCTGTTAAGCGGAGAGGTCTACAGAGACGTCGAGACACATGGTGCAATTTGAGATTGATTAAACAGTCGAGAAAGCTGGTTTCTAGAGACTATGAAATGACAAGAAGCTCTGATCCCAGAATAACTTGACAGCCTGTCCCATGGATTCTTCTGCTCGCTCGAATCGCACCCCTCGAGACTTGACCTGGTGTACGAATGTGGTCCGACATATTGGCGATAATGTATTCGGTGACTCAAATCGACAGCCTCTGCCACTCCCTAGCAGCTTCGAGGTCAGTTTCGATGATTGTGGAACCCTCTGGTCGATTGGGCGCTGGAGAACGTAGCTTTCGAGGGCTCGAACGACCTTGTGGTGCCAGATTTCGAAGTCATCTTCGTTCTCGAGAACGTCTTCTAAATTGTAAAGGATAAGGGTGACAGGACTCGGGAGCTCACTTGCTTTGGTGGTCGCATCGTCTTCCCCGACAAGGGTACTGGATTCGCCTCGGTAGGCATGCGACAGCCGCTCACAAGGCAAGCCAACAGAGCTACTAAGAGCTGACATAGATTAGATTGATGAAACGCCTGATGCATTTAATAAAATTATAGAATTATGATAATTGCTATCATAGGCATAAGAGAAAGGGTCCATAAGCTACAAGAAATCAGAGAGGAGAAAAACGTTCCAAGTATTCTCTACGATAACCAGAAATTAAATGCTAGATTTCTTCTCCAAGCATCCGGGCAAGCCGAATAATTGATGAAAAAAAAGGATTCGCGTCGACCGGGGGTAGTGTGAGCCCAGTGACACAGTGCGAAAGGCGTATGCAAGCACAGAGGCCAATCACGGGGTCCAGAAATTAATTAATCGAAACGTCCTGTGGTGGCAGGGCTGCTAGCGATTAAGCTAACAAGAACAGGTACTACACTTGATCTAAGCCAGAGGGCAAAGAAAAGCTGAGGAGAAAAGAAGAAGAAGAGACTTCCGGGGTCCCGGCCTCGCTTTATACCCCCAAGGCGGGGTGAAGGGGGGAGAAAGGTGGGGCCTGAGACGATGCGGCCCGTCCCGTGCCGAATACCGGGTATTGGCAGGTACCGCGCACGTGCCAATGATACGGTACAGTCACTCCGCAAAAGTGTTAACACTTCTGCTACCGCCTTCCCAATTAAATGTACCGCCTTCTTAATTTGTTATGCGGCCCATTATAGCTTCATTCTTGTGATGAGTATTTAGCCGGCGGAACTTGGGGTGTTAAAACTTTTGCTGTGTTACTGTAGGCTAACGTACCACGTGAGCGGTAGGTCCCAGAGTATGCATCATCATATTTGTGGTCTCGAGTACTCTTCCCCTTTAGTCTCATAATAGGGCTTCTAAGAAGTGGAAATATCATAGGTCTAGACTATAAATGTTCACTACAAGAAACAAAGAAACCCCGTTCATTGCTGCTACATCTCCACCTTTTGTGAATGAACTAGCATTTATCGGGAATAGTATAGGTTAGCGAGATAAAGATTCTCTAGAATGGTCACATAGCATTTTATGTGATTCTAAAAATAGCTTCTAACAAGAGTTGAAGTCAAAACAAAATTCTTTTGGCCCTCGGGGTGGACACTTGAGATCTTTGAAGTTGAATTCGATCGCGTTCAATCTCAGATTAATGTTGGGATTATGGCCGACGGGCAAGTTATCGAGAATGATGGCATATGTCAAATTCATGGCATATTATCTTGAAATCCGAATATTAATGCTTTTGGTCCTTTGCTGGCAATGGCGGCAATAGGAAAGATATGATTCGTCCGATGCATCCTTTACCCTAGTAAATGTGACATGGACCGCCTGCATGATTAGTTGCTGAGTTTGCGCGAATAATATCCTATCATAATGTTCAATTCCTGTCGAGGCGCCAATTTTCGAGTATTGCAATGAACGAGGCTAGTTGTGCGATAGTCGTGGCCTCACTCGATACGCTGCACTACATTATACGCCACATCTGCCTCACATCCCATTTGAGCCGCATATCCGAATATATGTTCGAAGTTCCCACAAAGATTGGGAGACTTTGTGATTTTACGCAGGTATGGAGGTCGCAGGTTTAGCTTTTGCTGCATTTTCCTTGTTCAGTGAACTCGAGGCCTGCGGCAAAAGTCTCTGTCGATTCTCTCGAGATATTCGCATGGCCAAGAAGGAGGTCAAATTGCTCAAATACGAAATTGCAAACTGTCGGGTGCTAGCGAGCATTTTCGAGGAGGTTATCAGCCCTATTCAAAACAATGTTATGCGAATTGCTAGGGAGAAGAACCTCGATCAACGACTTCGTGATCAATCAAAGTTGGCGCACGACCAGATTCGAGAGATTACCCACAAACTCAAGCCATTACATCGGGGCAAAAGTACTGGGTTCCAGAAATTCCGCGCACAGATTCGATGGCATTTCACGAAAGATGACTTCCAATTTCCGATGGCTACACTTGAAAGCGTAAAATCCAGCCTCGGTCTATTGGCATCACTCTCGGTTCTCGACTCTGCTATTGCCGACTTTGCCCGGGTTCCGAATTCAGATTCTATAAGAATGTCACAGGCTCTTGAGAAGATGTTAGTAGTCCTAGTACATGCACTTCATTGGAAACTGACAAGCAAACAATAGAACAGCCTTGAAAAAGCAGACTCGCCGAACAGAACGACAATTCAGCGACTCGATGAGAGTACTTCACGAGCAAAATCGTCTTGATGGACATCCGGACAGTGCGGGTAATATCCGAGTGATAACCATTATCATCAAAGAGATTAAAAATGGCACCGTCAAAGATGCACAAGACTTGGTTGAGAGATTTTCCAACCAGTCCCAAGTTAAGCCTCCTACAGGCTTAGATGTTTCCTCACAGTTGACTTCTGCGGACGACATGTACTCACCATCTCCTGGCCTCGTCAGAATCAGGACCACCCAGCACGCAAGCGGACCGAAGAATCCTTCTATTCGCTCTCGAAGCTTCACCCGAGACAGCATCCGTACCCCTGCTAAAGAGTTGACGCCAGTTGGAAGTGAGCTGGGACGGGGGAAGCTCGCGAGAATAGCCCAGGCTCTTCTCGTCATAGCTACCAGGTTATGGTTGCGCCTAGGGCCCAATTTCCTATTTCCCATGCCTTCGATGAGACAGCCACGGACACTCCGCATTCCCCCAGCGCATCGCGAAGCATATACCAACCAATGCCCCCTTTCAATGATTCTGACCTGCGGGAGAGGGAGATACGAAGCCGTCATCGAAGTCAAAGGGGAGAATGAGAATGACAAGCGAGACTTGAGGGATTGTTGAATTGGTCAGGTAACAGGGTTATGTAGACCTATCATGTTGTCACCAGCACTGCTGTCTCCGATGTCTAGTCGGCCCGACTGGGACAATCATTGGGTGCTTAAACCATGACGCTGGTTGTTGGCCCCCTCTGCGGAAGGCAAAACTGTGTCCTGGAGATATCGCACACACTCATTAGTCATGAAGCTCTCATAGTCATTTCATAGTTTATGCCTCGAATGGTATCTCTAGATACTAAGTTCTGCATTGACACATTGTTTTCCGGGTTGTAAATTATATTTCAATGCAATATTCATAACACTTCAATTACACTGCTGGGACGGGAATCCCAAGAATACGAACTAGTAGATAGTGTTTGAGCCAACCAGGATTGAACATTGAGAGTGATAGACTAAATACACTGTAAGAAGATAGGCTATGAGAAGCGGGGGCTTAGAGCCATAATCTTGCCCCGATGTTCAGCTTTGTCTGATTTCTTGTCGGGAATTCGTATATATTTCCCAAGTCAGTGTGCATTCATAAAGACCCGACACAAGTCCGAGACTAAAGAGTGGGTATTTGTTCGCGGGCATGTTCTGCCGGCTACCAGGGAGGTATGAAGCAACGAACATATGAGAGTAAGGGTGGTCGAAGTCGGTTTTTCTGAGGTTTGGGGTTTCAGACTCTATCGAATTAGCAGGGCTGCTGGCACGAGAATCTCTTTCTGACCCTCACTCCGAGGGGCGCATGTCGTCGTCCCCAAGAAGGGACTTCCCCTTCGGGGTCTGAATGCCGATGTATCCGAATGTTTGGGGGTTTGGGGGGTTTGGCTCGACTACTATGGGATTCACCTTAGGTACCACAAGGACCTGAAGAACATGTCTGGACGGATCGGTTAGAGCCCTTGCAGGGGTAGGCGGTATCTGGTCAAATGAGTAACAATCCCTGAGCCTAGTCAGAACGACACACCGGTGCGACAAGCCCATAGGCAGTTCCATTTCCATAGTTGTAGCAAGGAGATAAACTTAACAACAAATAAAGAGAAGTAGGGGAGTAGAATAGATCACGAAATATACCCACAGCTTGAACCAGGACCCAATGTGGGCATCCTGGAGTACGCAAAAGACATTCTCGATGTCTTCCTTGTAGGACATTATCACAGCCCGTGAACCTGCTAGAGGGTGCAAAACAGACAAGTTCTATGATTTTTCTGTCTTTGACATGTCTTTTCAGATGTCTTTGGTGATGTTGAAGGAAGATGAGTTGAGAGGTCTCGGGGGATCATCTGAAATAGAAAAGAACATTTCTAAAGAGTAGCCAGTCTAGTATGTCATAACTACGTATTCCTCACATCCCCTTTGAATTTTGGACTCTCTCTAAAGTCCTACTTACATTTATCTCATTACCTCTAATCAAGATCTATTTCTTCAACTCACTTAGCTACATCCAATACTCAAAATGCCCATCCCACTCAAAGATACGCCGAATGAGGCCGATTTGGAAAGGTCTGGAAACATCAACGCCCTTCGGCGCGAACGCTGGCGTCTCTGGGAGAATGAAAAATCGAATGTCAAGGCCGATTTTAATATCTATAGCCTTGTCCAGACGGAGGTCAACCTTCGGGAGAATATTCAGCGGGAGATGGCCCTCGAACACAAGCTGGCAGCCTGTCAAAAGGAACTCGCCACCAATCCAAGTCTCAATCTTGTCACTCGTGTTCGAGACTTGGATGCGGAGATCTCAAAGCTAAATGAAAACTATTGCCGCCTGGAACAGAGATGGTCGTCGGCCAGGGCTTCATTCCCGGAAGGCCCGTTAACCCGAGGAATCGAATTATGGCGATCACACCCAAGGTGGTATATGCATCGCGAGTTATGAAGAGATTGTAGCGCAAGAGGAGGATGTTGTCACAGAAAATGCGGGTGCTGTTTCAATCGTCATTCATCAAACAGGAAATTCGAAGCCGGTCATTGCACTATAGAGTGTCTCTGTTGTGAGAAATCTCGGGGATTTGCGTTCAATGCCAAAGGAAAAGAGATATTTGATATGGAATTCGATCTTGCTTTTGACAAGGGGTATCTCAACCGAATCCGCCATGCCTCTTTGCTGGGGCTCATACATGGTAACGACGAGAATCCTTTTGATCTTATTGATGATCATCCACCAAGTCGTGAAAGGCCTTCTGCGTGAGCAACTTTTTCATATTTATCTAGCTAAGCTCAAGATATATCCATTATATTGTTGCAGGCTCCTGTGACTACTTGGCTGTTACGATGGGCACGTCTTGTTTTAATGAAACTTGAATTTCACAATTTCATCTTCTGCTAGGTGTCTCATATTCCCACTTTACTAGACCATAAATGCGTCAAGGGTATCCATTCATAGAGAGTTGGATCCAGTCTGAGACCGAAGAGCAGGCAATTGATGAAGAACCAACTAGCTTTCCTTAGCAGTTTGGAGTAAAGGCATAAGATTGTACTAAATTGAGATGAATCTAAAAATCAATCAAAAGTCAAGTCTAAAATGCATCAACAGAAAGAAAATCAAAAGAGATCAAGAATCGTGATACATGATACAATCAACACTGAAAAGAAACCCCCATAACCTCTCCGTTGGTGCCTTCTCGGGCACAGGCTTGTCGCCAATATCTACCACATATTGAAGAATATTCTTCCTCTGATCATCAGTGAGAATATTTCCTTTATTCAAGGCCATGCCCATGACATCAGACCATGTGTCTAGCGAAATTACAAGGCGCCAAGGCTCCTGTGACTCTTTCCCATCCAACAGTTTGCGGGAGCGAATCACTCCAAGGTTGATGGCATCCACCAAGTCCCTTTCAACTCCAAGACATTGGAAGAGCTTTTCACTGGAAGAAAGCTGAGCCTTTTTCGAGTTAGCCCCCCACCTCAAATATGATCAGAGTATGTATTTAACTTACATGAATGACCTCCTCATTGAACAGCACGGCTTGCATCTTCTTGGCCATGCCCAGAGCAATTCCCCAGATCTCACATCCTTGGACCTCACTCTCAGTCGCGAGTTTTCAGAGGTTTTTAGTGACCCATTGGAATTTCATATCAGATCTTCCTCTCCATGATCTACCTTTCAACGGAGCAGTCGGGCTTTGAGGAACCTCTAATTTCTTAATCGCCACAGTGAGACTGTTTTGATAGAAACTCGGAGCTTGCTCCGCAATGTCAGTTGCCCAATACAACAATTGACGAACTTGTTGAGGCAAATGCTCATTCAGATGCCAAGTGATGCTTAGATTCTTTCCCCCGGCTTCCGGTCGAGAGGCAGCCACCTTCGCCTTTGGAAGATATAAAGAGAGGACCTCGCGTGATTCCTGCATGCACAGAATACTGGCCAGATGGATAACTCCAGTGGCTGACATGGGGATTCCGGTCACAATCAACTCCGGCACTGACCGCAGTCCACGAGTTTTGCGGAAGTGTCTCCGATTGCTCTCGGATGCAATCTCGGATGTTCCCTGAGGTTGGGGCATTGCGTCCTGATCTTCAGTATTCGCGGGGCTCTGATCTTTGGCATAGATAGAGAGATCAATGCCACGAGCATTGTTACTAGAGGCCGGGTCCTCGCTTTGGCCAACAACGCCGGAATGGTATTCTTCCACAGGGAGAGGGGCATTCTGATCCGGGAACCCCAGTTTGCTGCGGGTGTATATCCTAGCCAGGATTTCCACGCCGGGAGTACCGAGAGGGTTTCCACTGAAGTTGACTTTCTTGAGCATGTAACACTCCTCAAAGGAAGTCAAGAAATACTTCCAAGCCGCCTTTTCCCTGGTGGTACTGAGCTCGATACAGTTATGAGACAGATCAAGGTTGCTCAGATCACCGGTGCTGAGTCTGATTGCCATGCCGAGCTTGGGCAATGACCTGAAGGTTAGACAATTGCCGCTCAGTTGAAGCTCGAAGAGCCGGACAAAGCCTTCGGGGTGATTGTCGTCTTTCTCTTTCTGGTGAGTCTCGAGCAGGGTATCGATGAATATATCGAAGCCCTCGTCGGTTAGCTTGCGGCCTGAGAGATCGATCTTGACGGTCGGGTCGCGGGAGGCTGCGTCGCAGCTGTCTCCTCTGGGGAGCCTTCGTCTCTGTTGAATGTTAGAATCCATGTCAATGGCTGGGTCTGGGAGGGAATCCATACCAAGTCTCTGGCGGTGATCATGGCCATCTCGACACCTTCCGTCGTCCGCTGTAGAGGGTATGTTGGTATTGATTACCATTCCAGGGCGCGGCTGGGTGATATTTACAGAAGCGTAATGTATGCGGGTCATCTTGGTCGGTTTAGAAAGTTCAGTCCTACTGTCGTCTTGTCTTTCTGAAATTGAATGGGGTTCCGATTGGATATTTTGGAAAAAGGCTTAAATTGATCTCGCAATTCGGAAAATCTGTACCAAAAGCTGCGCCAAATGTTGAAGAGTGAATATCTTGTTGAATGCTGTGTGTATTCAAGAATAGCCCGGCGTGCAAGGGATATTTTATATCTGAATAACAGAAAACAGAAATATTGACATATCTAATACTAGGCTTTCCATGGTATCTACCCCTGATTGAGTCTATAATGAATCTAGCAAAGCACATGGAGTATTGTATCAAAATGAGACGAGACGAAAACATAAGTTGAAATGACAACACAATGCCCATCGTTTTGGACAGTTAACATACTCAGAGACCCGAAAGAAATGGATTTTAAGGACAAAAGGAGCTTGAGGTACTTGGGGTCGATGTCTAAAGTCGACAATGATCCGATTTGGCTAGTGTTTTAGATTGATACTGAGAGTGAGACATAGATAATCAAATCATGGTCTGTACGGCCGAATGTTTTACGTATAATCACAGATAATAGCTTTATCATTCGTGCGGAGGATCCTAAATGTCAATATAGGGTGGCCCCCAGTATTGTATATAGGAAGTAAGACAAACCGTAGCTTTCACCAGTTCGCTGCAATCCAGTACCACATACAAAAGAAATCCTAGAGATGGAGTGCAAAAGCAGAAAAAAAAGACCCCACCACTTGACCAGCAATTCTTGACCGTCTAAATAAATTTAATGATATCTTTGAACTCATCAAGCAGATCAATCCCGTCGTCGTTCCATGCTGCAGTCAAATCCATCCGACCGCCAACCACAGGAGAAACAGGAGACACAGGCTGCTCAGGGCTCAGTGATTTTTCGTCGATCAAAGGGGTTGAAGCGTGAAGTTGTGAAGCAGGAACAAAGGGACTTTGCTTCACCCGCTTTTTCTCCTCTTGGTCTTGTGTTTTGTCTTCAGCCACCTTCCGTTTCAGGCTGGGTGATTGATCTGGCCTTGTTGATAGTCGCAGTGCGCTCTGTTTGGTAGGGGAGTCTTGGTTCATTTTCGTTGGCAATCCTGTTGATTTTGGCGGCGTGTCATCCGGAATCTCGATTATCTCGCGTTGAGGCGACTTGCTTTGGTCTTTTGGGGAAAGACCAGACCGTGCAGCAGATTGTTCGGGGTTTGTATGCTTTGTTTCCATGGCCGGAACATTTGTAATGGTGCTCTTCGGTCGATCATCCATTACTGGAGGTACCGATGTTGCAAGCCCTGATCCCCTGTTCCCAAGAAGACGTGAGGGAGACGGGAGGTCATCGAAGGCTTCATCACCATAATCACTGGAGAGGGGCTTCACAGGACTCTTTTCCCGCTTTCTCTTGTGTGGAGGAATATCCTTGTCCCTCTCCGAAAGGGCAGACTTCTCTCGACTTGTATTCCTCTTTCCAGCTTGCGAAGTTGATGTTATCTTCTTCGTCTTTGAAACATGCTCGGAGATGGTCAATTGATTGAGGCCACCTTCCTTTTGGGTCGCTACAGGTCGCTTCGGTGGCTTCGGGGGCTTTTCCAAACCCTCACGACAGCAGAAATGTTTGCAGCTGAAATTATTAGCATGAAAATAAGGAAAGCAAAGGTTTTCTCAAACCTTGTTTTGTCTTTGCATTTGTGGTTACAAGCCCATTTGCCATTCGCAAGTCTGGCTGGCTCGTACTCATCTTCGTCGATCGAGAACCAATTTAGATCATCGAACTGTTGAGGCTGTGGCGTTTGAGATTCCATCGCCTTGGCAGGACATTCATTTGCAACGAGGAAATCATCGAGTTGCAGGTCATCACCATCAAAATTGTCCGTATCCCGCCGAGATTTGGCCTTGATGGTAGTGATACCTCGTCCTTGGGGATGAGGCGTGCTGGTCTTCGGTTTTTCTGTGTCTTTGAGATTCAAATTTCCCTTGGTGGGACGAGGTGGTAGGTTCGAGCTTTCAGTCTTTTGCGCATTGGCGGTTTTATCTCGCACAGCAGCGAAGAGATGGGAGAGCAGGCTAGGTTTGAGCTCAGCTTGTCGCCATGTCCCTGCTGGAAGATTGTCAGCATGAATATACTATGTGATGAACAAACACAAAATTAGAAAGAACCATCGCTTTTGATAACGTTCAAGATTCTTACCGATTTCATCGCACATAACATGACACACAATGGCTTGCTCCGCACTCGTCATGTCCGTCGTGAGATCAAGCTCCAATTTCTCTTGGAGCTTGATGGCACTAGAAGGGAATCAGTATTTGCCTGTAATGAAAGATTCATGGATAAAGATCGCACCTTGTCCGTCTAAAGTCGACCACGATGCCATCAGACCTTTCTATCAAGCAGCACACATATACCGGGCGACGTTGAAAAAATCTTGGAATCTTGTCATTCAAAAACGCGATTTCAACCTTAAATCGCACATTGACACAGTTGATCTTCACTTCCTGTATCCCACGTTAACGAAATGACATTTAACATCATAAGAGATTCCACACCTTTCCCAGCATTTTCACACAAACCCTCAGTTTCGGAAACTCCTTCAATCTCGACAGCAACTTTGACCCGAAAGGCGGGTTTTTGCTAAGAACCATCTCAATCTGATGAGGCTCCGCACATTCCAGCCCTTCAATACTGGTAATCCCCGCAGCAGCCAACTTCCGAACTGCAACGACACCCACTTGCTCAATCTGCTTCATTTGGAGAGGCGAGTGGTCCCAGACCTTTGCTCCAAAGCTCCGGGCGAGTTCAAGGGCATTGCGGATGGAGATTGAGTCACCGCGGGCGATTTGACAGTCGATCAAGCAGCGGATTAGTCGGCTTACATGTGCAAAGACTAGGCTTTTGTCTTGCTGGAAGGTGAATTTGAGCTTTTGGAGTGGCTCATTGTCGGGGTACTCAATTGCGCCTAGCTCGGATTGAAGGAGGAGTGAGATCTTGTGCGCTGGGAGCGCTAGGTCGACTTTGATTGGGAATCGAATTCCTGAATCACGATTGATCTCTCGGTAGAGCGATTTCTCCCCGGCTTTGAGGCGGATCTCGCGGAATTCCTCGGCTTGTGCGATCACGTTAAGCTGGAACAGTATGTCAGTTGAAGTTCTTCGTTTTAGCAACCCGGGAACAATGAACTCACAGTTTCAGACACAGATGCTTTTGGTTTCAGTGACAATAGAGCTTTCATAGTCTCGAACTGGATGTAGTAGCGAGCCATAGCGTCGCCAAACTGGGTTGAGCGAAGGCTTTCGGCTTCAACCAGATCGCATTTTCGAAGAAGATCAATATCCTTCTCACAAATCTGACGAAGTAACTCATCTTCATCTTCTTGATTTGCATCTTCTTTGAGCTTGTAGTGAGTTGGATTCTGACGAAGTCTCACAAACAAGAATGTACCAGCAAGCCATTTGACAGCCGATTCCACGTCCGAGATATTTCCTAGGCCAATCTCGGCGTTAAGGTGATCAATGAGGTTCAAGTGCAGGCAACTCTCCAAACTCTCAGAGCCCTGCACTAGTTTCTCATAGTGAGTGACCCGTTCCTTTCTGGTTAAGATGACAGCTGTTGCACTGTCATCGAATTGGGGTCGGCCCGCACGGCCCAGCATCTGCATCATCTCCAAATCCGAGTACTCCTTGCAGCCTCCATCTTGCCAACTGACAGTGTTTTTGATTACCACTAGATGGCAAGGTAGGTTGACTCCAACTGCAAGTGTAGACGTGCAGCATATGACATTTATATGCCCTTCTCTGTAACCTGTTTCAACAGTGTGGCGATCGGCGGGGCCCAGCCCAGCGTGGTGGAATGCTACACCAGCAGGGAGTGTTGCTATTTGAAATTAGCAGTGTGCGTTTGAAATTAGAGCCCAGCACCTACTCTTCAGGTCCTCGTTATGAGCTTCGAGGCGCTTCTTGGGCTCCTTCCAAAGCCTGGCAGGTGGATTCGTCAATGTAAAAAGCCGAGCCAATTCTTTCGCCGTCGCGAGCGATGAGTTCCGCGTGCAACAAAAGATCATAATAGGCTTCTGGCATGAATGCATTCCGAGCACTTCGGGTAACCTTTTCAAGCACGAATCAGTTATGTCAAACGAGTAACTCAAAAAGATAGAAGATATAGAAACAAAGAAGAATCCAAGACTTTGGAAAAAAGGCCACATACTTTGAACCGCAGATTTTATCAAATGCAAAGTCATTCGAGCTAGACGGATACCCATAGACAAACTTCTTCAACGTGACAGGACGAAACTCCTCACCAAAATGCTCCCGGTGCGCAGGAACATGCTGGTTTGTCGCGTCCTTCCCAAGCCAGGTAGCAATATCCTCGGAGTTGGGAACAGTAGCACTCAACGCAACAAATCGCACATTCGATCCGATATTCTTCATCCGAGAAACCACAGCCTCAAGCGTAGCTCCTCGTGTCTCCTTCAGAATATGTACCTCATCGATGAGAAAGAGCTTCACGAGCTGTATCAACTTCGTATGATCTTTCCATTTCCGAGTCATGCTATCCCATTTCTCGGGCGTGGTGATGATAATTTGGCTACTCTGAACGTTGCGTAGCTGCATGTGATCCGTGTCTCCAGTCAGTTCTGCGCACTGGAGATTCAAGCTGGAGAATTTTGTATGCCAGTCTCGGAAGCGCTCGCTGCAGAGGGACTTGGTGGGTGCTTGGTAGACGACTTTGAAGCGTTCGTCTTTGAGGGTGTTGAGAAGTCTGCAGATAGCCAATTCCATTACCACTGTCTTGCCGCTGCCGGTTGGTGCAGACAAGACGATGTTGTCATTGCTGTTATAGGCGGAGTGGAAGGATTTGGATTGAATAGCATTAAAAAGAGGGAAGGGAAACATCGACCGGTAATTCTCCGGCATGTCATTTACTGATACGAGGACGATTCCCCGCACAGAGGGTGGAATGTTGCTGAAAGGGTTGTGATTTTGTCTATTGCTAGTCAAAGCCTCTGGGCTTGCTTGGGGGATCGATCCCTGAAGCGAGGACTGGCTAGTCTCATCACTTGTCTCGAGGCGGCGTTTTCCCATCCGGATTTCGTCCTTCCTCTGACGAAAAAGTGCCAATGGGCTTGACGAAGGCCCGAGTACAGGGTCTGACGAACTGGACCCATTCCAGCGCGAAGAAGTGATACTCGAGCTTGCTATTACTTGTCAATCCTGAACTAACAAGACAGAAACACCAGCACCCATGTACAAGCAACTCACGCTGAAAGAAACGAGAGAATTGCGGTGGATTTAGATCAGGCTGACGAGACGCTTGAAGCGGCGTAGATGTAGGACCTCCAAATCCTGAAGCTTGGATTGTCTCGTCCCTGTCCTCTGAGGCTAGTAATTCCAGATCTAGCTTCGATTAACACTCATCATGATGATAAGCTAGCAGACTCACCAAAGGCATCCAATTGAACATCATCTTGAGCTGACGATGCAAGATCGGTGATGGCAGTTCTGCTACTCTTAGGTGGGGACCAGGCATCTGTGGGCCTCTGAGAAGGCAATTGAAAGGCTTTAAAGTTTGGAGTCTGATGAGTCCGACGCATTTTGAGATTCACTTCGATGATTCGTGTTGAAACTGGAATTTGAACGGACGAATTGTCAAATTGTCTCCAGAGCTGGTTCCAAGGTCCAGTTCCCGATAACGTGACGGCACGTGGACGCCCAATACCTTTGTAGTATACGAATATACTGTAGAGTCTTTTCAAAATCAGTGAGAATGAGAATTGGCAAGTATTGTGGGGTATATGAAAGTGTTTCATTGCTTCGTATATATGCATACATGAGCCAAATCCGGACAATATCTCGACAGCCAGGGGACATGCAAAATGGGCAGCGAAGAGTAGCTAGCTCCAAATCAGGAGCAGCATCAAGAATAGTACAAAGGCTCGCGGCGGGCGGCTTGACGGCAGCACTTACATCCGCATCTATCAGGTATCCAATATCATTTCCCGTAAAGAAGAATCTCATCACGTAGACCAGTAGTAATGTGCATGGCAAGTCACATCAATCATTTCTCGTCGAAATATCCGCCCGCGCTTGCATTTCGGCTAGCGCTTACTCTAGTATGGCCTGGTGCTGGTGAAGTAGGACGGGATGACGACATGCCGTCAGAGAGGAAAGGTGAGGTTGGAAGTTTGATAGAAAACTCGTTGGGAGGCGCCACGGGGGAGCCCTCGGGACCTGCGGGGTCCTTTTCGTAGGTCTCAATGCGGATGGGAGGTGGACGCAAGGCACCCATTGCAGAGTTGAATGTGGGGTTTCCATAGTAGTGGGTTGCTACCAGGACTGCAGCTGAGCCCAGGAGGAACTATAATGTTCCAGTCAGTCTTGTTCATAATGTTCATGTCGAGGGCGGGGAGCTAGAATAGAGGCTGGGAAGTATTAGAAAGGCAAGGCACGTACTGTTGCATTGACCTCAAAGTCAAATAGCCAGATGCTACCAACAATGCTCAAAATGATGTTGGCAGTTGTGGCCAAACTCCTTGCGTCCTTTTGTGCATGGCTGACATAGAATGCAGAAAAGATACCACCCAAGGCCTGGATGATGATGGTAGACCACACCGCCCAATTGTAACCCTGGAAGAAACCATCTTCAGCGATTCTTTCGCCCTCCCGGAAGACAATCCCAATGAAGAGAGCCGGGAACACGGAGTAAATAGCTAATTGCACATTGCGAACCCACAATGAGATATGGTTCGAGCTGTCCTTTAGGACTTTCTCGAAATAAATACTCGCCAGTCCAGAAGCCAAAGACGCTCCGATGGTCGCAAGGAGACCAATTGTGGGGTTCAAGTGTGGGTCGGCCGTCAGGATATCCTCTTCGATACCCTCGTATGTTGCAGACCGCTTTTGTAAACTGCTGCCAGAACCAGCACCTTGCTTGACAGCCTTCCACTCCTCCAAGGAACGAGGGAAATGATGGCTCGCATGATCATCCTGCAACATCTGCTCGGGGCTTGCATCGGGGATTTGCACCAACGCCACGCCCACCACAAGAAGCAAGAGCAGGCCCCACTTGCGGGGAGGGATGCTCCGTTTCATGAGCATCAGACCAAAGACCGCAGTGGTAAGGAACTTCAGCTGGAATGTAATCTGGAAAGACGCAGCTCGTAGGTTTGAGAGTGCAATGAACAGCAGGGAGTTGGACAAGACGTCGAGGCCGGCAGGGATAGCGAGTTTCCAGCTGTCGCCTGAGAACACGGTGCTTGTGAGGGAGAAAAAGAGGGAGGTGGCGGGCATCGAAGGTGGTGCGGTTTTGGAGACGTCATAGAGCGCCATTGTGAGGGAGATGGCCAGCTTGACGACTTCGACTAGGAAGACGGCCGTGGAGGTCAGGTAACGTTTACCACCTGCGGGGGGCATAACTCGAGAATAATGAGCTAGCTAGAATATCGTAAAAACACACATTAGCCTTCCATTCCTATCACAAGGATTTTCCATGTCGCGCAGTATGACTTACCAACACGAACGCAGTAGACTCCGCGGTCAACTAGAAATAAACAATGGCAAATCAGCGAACAGAGTCCCCAAGACCGCAAAGGCCGTGTGATGTCCAACAATCCCATACCAGAATCCATGGCGCAATATTGGCCGCAACTCGCAGCGGAGATGGCTGGCGTTGGGCGCGATCCCCCATAGCGAAGTAATAGATCGCGTGTTCCCTCTAAACAGTGGGTAATGTTTCCGCAAAAGGGGCACGCAGTGCAATCCCCAGTCCGGTGAATGTGGTAAATAGATTCAGTAGAGGAAGCAACAAGAGAAGGGTGTACGATGTAAAGCAAGCTGCAAATCCCAATTCGCGAACCAGGGGTTGTGGGTTGTTCTGGAGATCTTCGTTTTTAGGTCCCGATATGGTCTCCCGAGGGTGATCGGAGGCGATGCGGGTGGCTGGGAGGCGAAAGAGAGGATGGGCGTCGGATGGCTCCACTGTCTGAAGGATATCTCACAAAACTTGAAAAAGAAAAGAAAATCGTAAAAGGAAAGGATTTAGTGGTCAGGCAATAATCTGGGGTTATACCGACGAAAAGCGCGCGGTCAGATCGTGAGTGGATCAAGTCACAGGCCAAAGGTTCGTGTGTACCCCGTACTCCGTAGTCTGTACCTAGGTAGGGTTTTGCAGGTGTGTCCGAGTATAATATATAATATTGTGTACGGTATACCTGGCCATATCATATATCATGTTTACACTCAATTCTGGCCCCCTTAACCTTGGATGACGTCGAGCCAGGTCTCTCAGGTCCACCCACAGGGGTCCACGTCTTCTTGTCCCCATAATTATTCCTCCCACGTCATTCGATATTGGCTATTTCTCATTTGGGTTAATATATACGCATCTTAAACCAACTAGATTCCAAGTCCTACATCGCCAAGTGTAGTATAAGCGGCCAACAATTCCAAGGTTTTGCTTCTATAAAAACGGCCAACTTACTATACATATTCCCCATTAGAAGGTTGATATACCATTTCAAGTCATCTACAGTATTAGGAATTACTTCAAAGAACGCACAAATATAAGCGGTGAAACCTGAAATCCCTAGTTGCCATGCATTGATATACGATTCCGGCTAAGCTGGACCGCCATTGTGTGGTAGGAACTGTGGGGAATCGAGCAACATTGCACAAGTTCGGTTGAATTGACGATCATTGAGAATATTATGGTACAAGCGTCCGAAATAATGAAATCGTGAAAAAGACACGAGGGCCACCCAAGTAAAACATGATAGCAGGTATGGAAGCCCGCGTGTGAACGCTAATTCAAAAAGTAATAAAGAAATAGTGAGACAGAAGCAGGAGGGTCGTGTAGGAAAGGGGCAAGTGTAGTCTATGTGGTTGGATAAACAGAAGCTTGGAGCAAAGGTGCTGCAAGATGCAATCAAGTCAAGGAAATGCAGGAAAGACTGTAGAAGATCAAATCAAGTAGGAATACAGAGAAAGAGAAAGGTAAAATAGGAAAAGTAAGGGGTGGAGTGAGAGTGTTGGGTATCAAATGTCAAGCGATCAGTGCACACGAGCGACATTGGTGTGTTCCTGGTTCCAATCAAAGTCGAAAGACCAGAGAGGAAGATCGTGGCTGCGTTTTGGCTCACCGCCATCCAGCAGGATAGCCTCGCTACTATCGGTGCGACGGCGGGTGTGCTGCTTCTGGTCTTCGGGGATAGCAGGTGGGGGGCCTCTTGGGGGTGGTTTCGGGGAGGGAAGCGGCGAGAATCGATGTATTGGCAAAGTGGGGGTCAGCGGCGAAGCACCGCTGGTGGAAGGGGAGGGCAGGCTCTCGGAGTAGTCTGCACTGAAGCCAGAAGAGGAGGCGGCAGTGCGGGGTTTCCGTTCAGTATCCGAACCCGAGCTTTGGGAGAGCGATCCATCTTTGTACTGGGTAGCGCTCTTTTCTGACCGGACGTCGAATGGCGGGAAAACATTGCTGAGGCGTAAGAATGAGGTGTCGGATCCGCAGAAGGAATCGCGCGATGGGCCAGAGGCTAGTGATCTTCTGTCTGCTCCCTGGGCATTGAACAGACTGGGTGTGACCTTGCCCTTTCGAATGCGCATCGCCTCGAGGAGATCTTGCTCTTGGCGGGTCACCGCGATCACACGACTCCTCCGGTTCAACTCTTTCAACTCTGCGGGGGAGCGGAGAGGCTGCTGTGGGAATTGCGAAAGAATGTCATCCGGGATAGTGGGAACTCCACTTGAACGGCGAGTTTGCGTGGATCGTCGAGTTGTCTGAGAAGACTTCCCATTCGAGGACTCGGAAACCTTTCGTGGGCGAGCTACTGGCACTGGCTGGCTCTTTTCGGTTTGGTGGGAGCCACGGGTGCTAGTCGAGAGTGCCCGGTCAAAGCGTCTTACCGCCGTGGCGGTGGTCGCCTGGGCAGTGGAAGCCGTGTAGACCTCGGGCTCGTATTCGCCGTAGGTAGCCACACTGTCTCTTCTAGGCTTGTTCGTATTACGCTTTGACTCGGTGATTGGAGGTTGCTCCTCATCATCCTCGTCCTCTGAAGAAGAGGACAGGCAAAGCATACTGACATTTCGCAGATCCTTGTTTTTCAATGTGCTTTTGCTGCTCTTCTTGGTCAACAGGCTCTTCTCGCTCTTTGATTTTGACTCATTGGTCTTCCAAGATTCCTGGGAAGTGCTCAAGCCGCGCCCACGCTTTGGATCTGGACATGAGGCAGGACTCAAGTGGGTCTCCTTGGGTCGAGACGGGCTATGGGCATGTCTCGAGCTCTTCCGAGGTTCCTGGGGGTGTTGCTGTTCTGGCTGCATATGCTCTCGGCTGTTTGTATACATGCTTGAACGGCTTAAAAGTGATCGCCGCGCCGCATATCTATCCAGGGCCAAATCAATCTCACTCGTTCCTACTGTCCGCTCCAGTGGTTGCTCCGACCACTCGCTATTTTTGCTTTCGGCAATTGAAGGCAAATCTGAATTATCGACACCATGCTTAGGTAGATGTGGGTCATTTTTGGGGATCGAAGATCGGCGAGGAGGTGTTTCAACATATCGCCTCGTAGTAGAGTTGCTTGTGCCGCTTGTCCTGTCAATTTTGATAGAATCCGGGGCAACTGTCGAGATGGGAGAAGGGGAGTTGACCATTCGGTGGGGGGACAGGAGTGTTTGTGGTGCGGGATTCCGCGGCTTCGGGAACAAAACGGAAAGATCAATTTTTGGACGTATCTTCCGCTTTGATTCCTTCGGTGGATCCTGAGCCTGCGTATATGTCACTTGTGGCTCCCCGCTGAGTCCATGTCGTACTCTAGGCTGGAGTGCTTGGCTCTTGGCTGATTTGGATGATTCTTTCGAGCTGAAATAAGAGAAAAGGGTGGATGAGGAACCGGAATGGTGGACCTTTTTCGACGGCTTCGGAAGCGGCGGCGCAGCCTCCAACGATCGGTAGTCATGGCCTAGCAAAGGCGATGAAGCCCGCACGCGAAGGTTATGATCGGGAATCAGGTTGTTGTCGGAAGAGCTTGGGAACGGAACGAAGCCGCTGCTCTGTCTAGGAGCATTATTGGGTGGCTTGATAAAGCTCGGTCGGCAGACATCTGGAGCTTCCTGCCACCCGCCATGCTCCTTGGGAAGTGATATATCGGTTCCGAAAAATCTTTGGGCTTTCGAGGTTCGCCGATCTGCGATCCGGGACGGTTCCTGGGTGTTCATCGGTTCGTGTAGAGCCGGGGTGCGACTTGATGTTCGCAGTGGCACATGGACCGGTGTGAGTTCTCGGTGTCCCATGGTGGGAGATGTAGGGCAAGTTTCAATTGTTCATAAAATCGTATGATGCAATGGGCTCACGGGCTCACTAAATGTGTGCTGGGCGGGTCTCAAGTTCAAGTATCTCTCGCTTCCAACACTTCGATCTACTCCACAAGTCAGATGGGTTTAAGACAACAATTTAAGGGAAATTGGAGGGTCAGCTTACCTGAAAAAAGAGATCAATATTTCAAGGATCTGGGACTGGGGAAGGTCTAATCTTGGTAAAATAAAAGATCCGAGCAAAATGCGTAACACGCTGGGGTTGTGATGTTTTTTTGTATAGCCGTGTACAGGCTAATAATTCAGAAGGATTTCCTGTTCACAGGCTTAAGGGGGGGACTCCACTGAATGTCTGGAACAAAATCCTTATAGGCTGAACAGTGGTGTTTCATTTATTCCAATTTTAAATTGAAGTGGAGCACGGCTTGTCAAAAGTTGATCGACATGGAATATTAGAAATACCAGAAATATATTAAAAAATAGGTTGTGATACATATGGATCTCTTTAGTTACCAAAATTGGGGTCTCAGGGGTTATAAGGACTGGGTTATATAGATCATGTTATATAAGAATGCAAGAAGGTAGTTGCATAACACTATTCTCCGTACTTTTGAACTGGTGAGTAGGAGATTTTAACCCCTTACTGCGGCATATGCAACCTAAAACATAGTCACAACTCCCCGAGCATGAAGAACGTGGTTCTCTTTTCTCCGTTCACGCTATTGACGCCTCCCACGAATTCCTCCTTACTGTAGTTAATTGGAATTATTTCCTACTCCACTCATTTAAGTAGCCAATCCCCTCCTCCCATCCACTCGCATGGATGCTTTTTCCTGAGCTATCACCACAATGTGGAGTCAAGTCGAGGCTAGAGCCAAAAAAAAAAAAAACTATGGAGAATCCACGATAGCCCAGCGATAGTCCAGCGATTGCACTTCACCCGCGGTCGCATCTCAGCGCCCAGATCGACAAATCGATCGTTTACCCAATGCACTGGAGCGAAATTGAGAGCTCGTCAAGACTACAGCACGTAGGTAAAGTCCCCGAACCTGGGGCCGGTTTTCTCCGTGACAAATATCAGCCAGTGTTATTCTCCTTGAACCCCGGTTCGACTAAAAATACTCGCGTTTCCCCGGTAGCCATCGGACATCCACGAATAAACCCCCACAGGAACTGGTATCGATCGACTTGCATGTGGGCTCTCGCACACGCACCAAGCCCCCACAGGAACTGGTAATGATCGACTGAATGTTGCCTCGCTCTCGTACATGCATGTATCGCACGGGAACTGGTAACGATCGACTTGCATGTGGACTCTATTAAACGCAAAACTTCTTCGCATGTGCGCGGGAAGTGAGATATGAATCTGATCGTTTGCGGCTGACGGCTTGATAGCGCTTAGGTGTGGATACTGTAAGTCGCGAAGCTGTGCACCGGGGCCTCTATTTCAAGAGTGTCAAAGAATGTCAAAGAGCGTGTTAATATATGTTAATATCTAGAAATTAAAAAGGTAGGCACTAACACTATAAACAGACTTTATATCCTTGCCTCGTCTTTAGAGATCAGATCCGATCGCGGAGATCCTATATCTTCGGTCTCCGTGCACTGCGTAGACCCACGAGGCGGTGATGACACTCCCGAGGGCGCAATTTCACTTCGGATCGAGATCCATGTCCATCCGATCTGACCGTCGATCGACCTCCCTGTACGTAATTAGGGGCTTTGCTTTTTCGGTTTCGAGTTGGGCACGTCAACAGTCCGTAAAGGAAATGAACAAACGCGTCGAATAGCCGTTAAGAACACAACTTGAGACCAATATATCCCGGCTACCCATGGCCAGTCAAACGGAGCACGCTATTGAATCCAGGCTAGTGGTTTGGCAGGTGGCTGGGCCAAATAGTAATGCGGATACCCCCCTGATGGTCGCCAATAGTCGACTCCAATAGCCCTGGTCTCGTTCCAGGGTTTTGGATACGCTCTATCGCCTATCTATTGTCTTCGATGTGGATCTAGGCATGAAAATCATGAAGATCATGGAAATCCTCCACAATTCACATCCCACTTTCCAAATATTGAGTATTGACATCATTTTGCGACAAAATGCACAAAGAAACCTAGTATACCTCACTAGATAGGGGGATAGGCCAAGAATAGCAAGAAGATAAACCATGGAGATTTATATGGAATGATTACTCCGTATAGAAGAACTTTTTCCATCGTAAACCTTCTTTTTGTCATGTAGTCAGCATCTTAATATGATGTGCATCAAAAAATTCAGTCTTGTGGACTGTGCTGCATTCAAAACAACCCATTATTCTAGAATAAGTGGATATCCAAAAAAATTGGGAAACACTGGTACAAAATATACTCCGTAAACTACTGCGCTCATTCCTCTATCTGAGCCTCATCTTCTTGGCCTCCCGAGTAGAAACATCATTTCCAAATCCTTCTTCATCTGATGAATCCAGCAATCACTTCGAAACGCTACTTGAGGTCTGCCCCTCAAAGAAATCCCCGTTGGCAGAAGGGTTAGCGCGCACTCGCTTCCAAACTTTAGGCTGCGAGCGAGGGTCGATAGTATTGGCCTCTTCATCGGACTCACCCGTGAATTTGCCTATGATCGGTATACCAGCACGGGACCAATGTGAGCGAGTCACTTTAATAAGGTCAGGAGGGGATATCTCGTACTTCTCTGTAATTAGCTCATGTATACCCATAGAACTTCTCGCAGATGTATGGAGTCACTTACATATTCTCGGATGAGCAACATGGGGTCCAGCATTTCGCTGTAAACGGTGTTGCAGGTTGGTATTGGCATTCTGAGACAGAATTTGGGGTACCTTATCCTAGAGTATTTCCTCCCTTGGACAAGGTTGATTCCAGAATGCCTAGTTTCCGGAGAGTGTGGATTATTGCACGAGCCTCGTCATCGCTGCAGTCTAGATGATGTTAGATGAATGATTTGAAGGATGGCAGTTATTCTTACTAAGTCCTCTAGCCGCTTGCCAATTCGTATCTGGCGGTGCCTCCCTGACAAAGATAAAGTTCATTATTTGGCGCATTCAGATAAGCTTAGTCAGTTCTTCCATCAGATTGCCATCGAAGTCATATCCGATCAAGCAGCTGTAGCAGTAATGTATATATGGGATTCGTTTGTCCTTTGCCGAATAATAGCCATAGCACAGGGTGTGCTGGTAGTCCTTGCAGTTGGCACATTGTATCTTCAATATTGATGAGAACTGATCGCACACTTGATAGGCCATTCCCATGACTTACAGACTTGCTGGGCTTGAATCTCCAAGTGTTGCACTCACACCGATAGCGACGCCGACCCTTCTGGAGGTTCTGCTGGTTGTCTTTGTTCTCCTCATCTCGCTTCCTGATGGCATCACAACGATTTTGAACATAATCTACCGTTCTTGCTATAACAGTGGGCTTCGAACCTGCATCCTGCAAACGACGAATGTATGCAGCCGGGCCAAAGTTTCTTCGAATCTCTCGATGATCCTGAGAAAGGTGGACTCCATCGCAGCCAATGGGACATACTGCATAATGTTCCTCCTGTGGCTCATTGAGGGGTATCGGGGATCTTCTCGGGCGTTCAGGAAATTTGCTTTTACGCTGGGTTTCGGAAATATCGTCTGGGTTGACTGCAATAGAGTAAGCCAATGATTGACCCACTGCGTACACCCTGGACTGATCAGCATCCACGTCTTCTTGGCTGAAGAAGATCCTATCGTCCACATGTACCTCCATCTACTAAAAGTCAGATTTCGTTGAATAGTTTAGATAGGAGCGGTATTAAAGCCAGACTGACATATCGCCGTGTTTCTCTTGACTCTTTCCTCGTGGCTATACCCTGATGCCTAGCGGGCGTGTATGAAAGTTTTTCTAGCTCTTTCTCAGTGATTCTTACGTCTGTATCAAATGATTTAGTCATAATGTAAACAAAGTGAAGCAGGATGAATATAATTACCATCAGTGTCACTGGAAGTGCTTCCATCCTTGGAGACATATATCTCCTCAACTATTTCAAGCGGCATTTGAGCGGGTGTGGGAATCCCGACCTCACCAGAACGGAGTACTGCGTCGAAATTTGCCTCTTCCACCAAAGGGAAGTGAGCCTCTCCACCGGGTGAGGTAGAAAGAAGAGGATTCACTCTCAAGCCGACACTTCTGAGTGTTAGTTTTGCGTCTTGATCAAAGAAAGAAAAAGGAAAACGTAAAGACAAACGAAGAAACAAGATAAAGAAACATACGTGTGAAAGCCGCTATCGACGCTTCTGTAAAAGCGCCCCATCCTCTTCCAGTACGAAGTCCGCGGACATTCAATGGTGCCGTCTAGGGAACCAGTAAGCCCAAGTATATCGTAAGATCCAGGACATTCCGGTTTGTAGAAGACGTGTATTCCCAAGCTACGCTCGTCTGTTCAATGCGTGAGTGGCAACACCAAGAATGAGCAACAATAGAGTGTATATACCAGGCAATGCCGGGCTTTCAGCACACATTGTGATCAACCGTCGGACCCTAGGAGGGCCTTCCCTCCGAAAATCATATTTCGCATGCTCGCTCGATCGTCATGGGGGCGGACAAAATCATTCTTGGGCCGTTGGTTAGGCGATCTGCAGTGCCGCGCTCACCGCAATTGTCGAAGGTGAAGGTGTAAGATTCCAAAACGTTGTTTGGCGAGCTTTTATCTGTAATGACAGTAAGCTGAACGGCATGTAGGACGCCTCTTAGTAGAGCATCGAAGATGGCATTTTCCTAGAAGATATGGATATTAGCACTGATCAATAAACATAAATATATCCAGGGGCTCACTATAAGGTCGAGAAGTCCATCGGCTTCGTCGCTCATGTGTCTTTCAACCACGCATATAGGAACATATTCTGCTCGGTTACGTGCGAAATTGCCATTGCCCTTCCCTTTTACAAAATGGGAGTAGCTATATCGCTCGTGGAAGCGGCTTGTCCGTAGCACCCGCTCGCCAAAGGTATCCCTGGGCAATAATCCACTGGATTCTATATGTCAGAACGTGAATAGTAGACATTTAAGCCATGACTAACCGCGTATATAACAGCGATGCGATCTATAAAGAGCATATTAGATCGCAGCTACAAAAGCATGCACCTCGTGGGACATCGACTTACGGTCATATGTAATGTTATCTTCATTAACTCCAAGCTTTGCTCCTATTATACCGTTAGAATTGGTTGGGTCCATCTCAGGTGCTATTGGTTCAACATAGATTCAGACTACTCGCGATCACGGGAACCCGGTGGATTTTATCCGCTTGAATTTCGGGCTGGGGGTCCCAAACTCGGAGACAGCTCCTAAAGCTACAATTTTCTTGGGGCGAGACAAGCTTCTGGCAGTATGAGTATGAAAGATCGAAAGTGAATAATTGAACCTTATAATGGGAGAAGACGAGGATAGTATATTTCTATGCAGAATGTGGATAAAGGTACAATGAAAAGGGTAGAGCTGTGAGCTCTAAGAATAAAATCTCTTTGCTTCAGTCGCTAGACATTAACAAAGCAATGCCGTGTATCTTGAAACATCTGGGGGATCAGTCAGTCTATTCATAGACACCGGAAGTAACCACTATCTCGTATGGCCTTGTTGTACTATCCTTTTTGCTTTCTATATCAGCGATTTATAAACGTCACCTTGCTCTAATATATATATTGGGACAATCCTCTCTATTATTAGATTTCCAGTGAACAAGGGGCCCGGTGATACTTTAATATGTATTCCTGTACTATAAAGGTGTCAAGTATAGTGCAATATATCAAGGATATGGGCGGGAGAGTCAAAGCAAACCCTAAATCGACCTAAATAGATGCGGGGGAGACCGAGACATATTGCAGATATCGGTCCCGTGGGTATTCCACCTGGGCATCTAGGGCATTTAACTTGCATAGAGTAGTAAGGGGCAACGAGAGCAACAAGATGATTATTCTGTACCCCTGTGCCCTGTGCCCAAACCCCTAGTCGCTTATTTCTTCAACAACAACAATGAGATGCCAAGAAGCCACCCGGTGCACGCCCCCCCCACTTCACGTGATATGTGGCGATGGCAAATATAAAAAAAACCTGATAGTTTGATTTTGAATTACGATATATAGGGGCAAATATCTATTATTCATTACATATGAAGGTTGTAAATGGGTTGAGACCGAAGGGAAGTAAACCTGCTTATCTGAGGTCATATCGGTCCCACCTATATCTGGTAATGATTTCTGCCGGTCTAGAGCAGAAAGGGGGGGGGATTTCTCCAGGTTTCACACTAAGTACTTTTGGTATAAGGTAGAAAGCATTGAATATCTAATATATGTAATAGTAAGTATTAAAATAACTAGAACAAAAAAAAAAGAAAACAACGTTGGGCTCATGACATCGTCCACCTACGGGAACCGGAATAAATGTTGTTCTCCGCCCCAACTCCTTGTCAGCCGCCACTGTTTCTTTCTCCCCTTCCCTTTTGCTTCCTTTACTTCCTTGCTTCCTGTTTGTTTCCCAAAATCTTCTTATGTGCTAAATCACCCTTTGCATCGATGGTTTCGCTGGTGTACCGTGAGGGGCGTTTCAGAAAAAAAGATAATCTGGGAACACAGTTCCTTTGTCTTTTGCACATGAGCTTGCTTTACAATGACTTCAAATGCTCCCAGCTCCCTTCAAATATCTGAAGTCGACTCGACTTTGAACGATCACGACGCGTCCGTATCTGCGTCTCATGCCACCCACAGCCCCGGATCTCGATTCATTCATCCTCGAAAACGTGAAATGGACGAAAGAGAGGAGCTAGGCCAAGGGCCATCAAATGCGGCTATCGGACAGTTCACCTTCGCCCCTACTACCCGAACGACGGTGGTGACGACCACTACAACCACGACTACCTCCTTCCCACCATTAACAATCAAACCCCCGCGAGCCGTCAAGGATCTGGATGCCCGACAATACCCTCTTGCCTCAACTCCGACTCCAGCGGCCCTAAGAAATCTCAAGTTCAAGATCGGTGACAAGTCAATCATCTTCAACGAGCCCGAGGATACCACAAATGCTGCCGCCGAGGTACGATCTTCTCCTACCTTGCCGGTCTTGGTTTCAATGCTTACAGTATAATAATACATAGTACAAGGAGAATACCGAGGCGTTGAGATCGTCAAATGGCCAGATTCGCTCTGTCAATTCGTTCATCACCGAGGGCGAGAACCCCGCCCGGCGGCTGGCCACTCCGACAATAGCGAGCCAACCTTCTAGTCACCCTTCCAATACTCGCCGTCGTGCCGCCTCCCCCGTCACACTCTATGATCCTCGGCCCTCGGTTCTCCCGCGAACTCGCCCGTCGCGGGTTCCTTCCGAGCCCATTACACGCCGCACTCGTCAAAGTGGTGTGGGATCAACTCATCTTGCCGCCGGGCTTGCCACCCCAGACACCGAAACCAACCCGGGGGGACCTAGCGAAAATGTGGCCCCGAGACCGAGAATTCACAGCTCGGTGTTTCCGCGCAGGGAACCTCTGCCGTCACCCCTCTCCTCTGAAATTGGAGCTAAAGTTATACAGACATCCAATCAAAATTCCTACTTGCAGAATGCATTGTCTGGGATTCGTTCAAACCCCGGAACCCAAGAGTCTCAGGCCACCGAAGCGGATGAGAGTTCAACTGCACATGAATCGGCTTCATTTTGTGATACAACATATGGGACCCAAGAATCTGCAACGCAAGAAAGACCCGAGCTTTTGTCTCAGCTATCGGCAATAGATAATGCTATGGCGCAAGATATGTGCCTCCCGAGCCCGAGTCTTTCACCGGTCGCTGCTATGAATGCCCTCCATGGCGAATCCTCCTTTGACTCAGAAGGGCTCGATGTTGATACGGATTCAAGTCTAGATCATAATGTCTCGCATTTTTACAAGGCTCTGCGGCTGCAAGATGCAGATGAGACTCGGGCCAATGGCCATTCTCTCGCAAACTCACGGTCACCTCCCTCCCTCCTGGATATGCCCAAGGTGTTGGAGTTCTTTGATTCCGTGCCTGATGAGGTCAAAACATATCTCATGTATCAGTTTCTCCGGAGATGTCCCAAACCTACTCTACATTTCGTGGCCGATGTGGTTAATCCCACTTTAAAGTGCGACTTCCTGGCTCTTCTGCCGCTTGAGCTCAGCCTCAACATCGTCAAATACCTTGACGTTCAGACTATGTGCCGTGCTGCGCAGGTGTCTAAAAGGTGGAGACACATCACTAATTCTGATGAAAAGAGCTGGAAGAACCTCCTTGACCAGGATGGATATCATCTCTCAGATGGAGAATTAGAACGGGCTATAAGACAGGGATGGGGATGGCAGTTGTCCAGCGGCCCTGAAGACCATGAGGAAGATCTCAGCGTTGTGGTTTTGGCCAGGGCGGATATCGAGGCGTCTCCTGTCCCTTCGATGGCCGGCCCCAGCAGTAGGAGTCCTCTGGGGTCTCTGCCATCGATCCGACGAGGCAAGCGCAAAGCAAACACGCGTGCTTCAAGCAGGAAGCTTGCCAAGCGGAAGGTCTCATCCAGTGGCGGAGAAATCGCCGATCCAGACTGGAGGAGAGATGTTGCCGCGTCCGAGGCCCCATACGCCGCGGCCAACGCTGCAGCCGGGGCCGTGCCCTACGCTGAAGTGGGTCTACCATCTCTTCGTGGGCTGTTCCTCTTCAAGGTCCTCTACCGTCGCCATGTTGCCATCCACAAGGGATGGATGCAGCCGGATGTCAAGCCGCAACATATCGCTTTCCGGGCTCATGACCGCCATGTTGTTACTTGCTTGCAATTTGACGCTGACAAGGTGCTTACGGGAAGCGATGACACCAATATCAACGTGTACGACACTAAAACAGGTGCGTTACAGGCAACATTGGAGGGCCACGAAGGTGGAGTGTGGGCTCTTGAATACCATGGCAACACGCTAGTCTCCGGCTCCACTGATCGCTCAGTGCGTGTCTGGGACATTGAGCGGGCCAGGTGCACTCAAATCTTCCACGGCCACACCTCCACCGTCCGATGCTTGCAAATTGTCCTGCCTACCGAGATCGGTAGGGATGCAGATGGTCAGCCTGAGATCATGCCTAAAGAACCATTGATCATTACTGGGTCTCGTGACTCGAACCTTCGGGTGTGGAAGCTTCCCAAATCCGGTGACCCAGTCTACTATCAGAGTGGTCCTACAGTGGATGACGCTAGCTGTCCATACTTCATGCGTGTGCTCACCGGCCACCAGCACTCTGTTCGTGCAATTGCAGCCCACGGCGATACTCTTGTGAGTGGTAGCTACGATTGCACTGTGAAAGTCTGGAAGATTTCCACCGGACAGACTTTACACACTCTCCAGGGTCACTCGATGAAAGTATACAGCGTGGTGCTTGACCACAAACGCAACCGTTGTATCAGTGGAGCCATGGACCACATGGTCAAGGTGTGGTCACTAGACGATGGAGCCGTTCTATACAACCTCGAAGGCCATACCTCCCTCGTTGGTCTGCTTGCTTTGGAGCACGATTTCCTCGTCTCGGCTGCCGCTGATTCCACCCTCCGAATCTGGGACTCCGTGCATGGCCACTGCAAGAACACCTTGAGTGCACACACCGGTGCCATCACCTGCTTCCAGCATGATGGGCAGAAGGTCATCTCCGGGTCTGATCGGACGCTGAAGATGTGGGATGTGCGAAATGGCGAGTGTGTTCGAGACCTCCTCACAGACCTCAGTGGTGTGTGGCAAGTCAAGTTCAATGACCGCAGATGTGTTGCTGCAGTGCAGCGTGACAGCTTGACTTATATCGAAGTATGTGTTCTCTGATGAGGTTTTCCGATCCTTTATGCTAATATTGCTTTTACCCAGGTTCTCGACTTCGGAGCTGCACGGGACGGAGTCCCGGAAAGCAAACTCGCGAAACGTATTGTTGTTAACCGACGTGGGCAGGAGGTCCTCGACGGAATCGAAGATGATGACGACTTGTCTGATTGAGATGCCTCTTCGGCTTCAATATCTCAACATCCGAAAACCTTCCTTCTCCCTATACCACTTCCTTTCCTCTGTCTTTTATTCTCTTCTCACTATTCCCCCTTCACGATACCCATCCTTACAGCTCTCGTCTTCCATCGGAACAAATATCCTTTGCATAGCGTGGTCGGCATTATTTGATCTTGCAGCATTACGATAAGGGGCCAGGCGTTTTTCTTTTTTATTTCCATATCTTTTCCATCATCTCTTATGTGGAGGTTTCTATCATCCTGTATCCCCGAAAATTGCCCATCCCAATGCATCTCTCATCGATACGTTTTCTTTGTCTTTGCTTGATTCGTATTTCACTTCCCATTCTGTTACCTGTCAAATCGGTGACATTGCCTGCTGATGTTCTTTTACATATTTTTCGCCTTGCTTTGTCCGTACGGACTGCTCATAATAGATTGATTATTTACAATCTTTATTATAAATTCTGTCACAAGTTGGACTGGTGTGTAGGTTTATTGTAATTGCATTTGGTATAGTATTCTGCTTACAGCAGCTGGCTCTAGATAGCAAAGCATTCAAATGCTTCGAACATGAACCATATTGTTACATAGTGGTCTGTATGCCGTTGTAGACCTATGCCGGCTAGTTCGTGATGGCGTACGATAGCTAATCCGATTGAAGGATTGACTACCATGGTCAAGTCAATCCTCGCCCCAGAAAAGGAACAAATAGTGTCTTATCTCTGGCCCCTGGATATGCATGCGCTCGGGGAAGGGCTGATCAGACCTGACTAGCCACACCAAGGAGTCAAGTCTAAAAACTCGACGATAATTTCGAATTCGGACAATATGACATGTCCTTTCACGACAAAGTAGCCGGCGTCTCTGCAGGAGTCGATACAGCGAGCCGACCACCCTGCAAACTCCCATCAATGCCAGCAGCAGACAAAATCGACCAACGAACAGCATCGATCCCCAGCGCCCGGCCAGGACCAATCGTCGCCTCAGCACTACAAGTCAAAATCTCACCCAAAGACCCAGGCCCCTCTGAAGCCCGCGGATCAGGCTGCACAAGAGGTTTGATACCCCGAAGCAAGAGCTGTAGTCGCTCGATACTGGAAGACGTGACACCAGTCTTCATCTGCTTCAATTTCCTAACGAGGAACTTATCGACCTTGGATAAAATGATCTGGTGCGGGATAGCGTGGTGTCGGAATAATCTGAGGATCTCGGCGTCTGTTTGCTTGATGCCGTGCGTACTGTCGATGAGAAGGAATGCGCGACGGAGTCTATAACTTCGTCAGTAATTGTACATCATAGATTGGTAGGTTTTGTTCCATGTGTTGTATGCACATGGAACAGCTCATAACTCACTGTTTCCGTCCCTGGAGATACTTCATAATCTCCGCTCCCCACTCAGACCGACTCGCCTTTCCGTATCCAGGCATATCAAGCAACACAACCTTCGACTCGCCGCCCTTTGTACCTCCAATTCCGAACGCATTCATTTCCCTCGTCCGTCCCGGTTTCGATGACGTCCAGCAGATCTCTTGACCCATTATTGCGTTGAGTAGTGAGCTCTTGCCGACATTTGAGCGGCCCAGGAATGCGACTTCGGGCTCGACGGATGCGAATGGCGTTGTGCGGAATTTGGCCGCGGACCAAAGCTTGAGGGGTGAGTGACGCGACGGTGTGAAGACCTTATCGGCGAAGGCTAGTTGTTCCTCTTTCGGGGGTCTGGTATCCCAGTAGTAGCAGAGGTCTGTTGTGGTGAGGTCTTTGAGCTCGCGCTTTGAATTCGGATTCGAGGAGGATAGCGCTCGTATTGTTGTATATAATGATATCCTGGATGCAGTGTTCCTGCATTTTGGTATTGAGTTCATCATGAAGTTCAAATATCCGAAAAAAAGAAGTCGATAAAAAGCCCAAAAAAAAGTAGAGTCGATATCGATTTCTCCAGATCGGCGCACGGGGCAAGTCTCCCGAGCCAAGACCGCATCATCATCTATCGCATCCAGATAAGACTGACCTCCTCTCCATTCCACACCAGTTCAAGATGATCAACGCAGTCCTCGTCTTCAATAATAATGGCCAGCCCCGACTGACCAAGTTCTACACGCAGCTGGTGAGTCGACCGCACTCACACCAAACCGGCACAAGACAACCCCAACTAACCCCCGAAACAGGACACACAAACCCAGCAATCCCTGATCGCGCAAATATACCGTCTAGTCGCCCAGCGTCCAGCAAGTGCATGCAATTTCCTCCCGCTCCCTCCTCTCCTCTCGCAAGGCGCTAGCTCCTCCGCCTCCGGGCCCTCCGATACCCCCACCCAAATCACATACCGGACCTATGCAACACTGTCATTCATCATGATCTCCACATCCACTGAGTCCCCGCTCGCTCTGATCGATCTGATTCAGGTATTTGTCGAGGCGCTGGATCGCATGTTCGAGAATGTCTGCGAGTTGGATCTTATCTTCGGGTATGAGACTCTGCATGCTGTGCTCGGGGAGATGATTGTTGGTGGTGTTGTGGTTGAGACGCATATTGAGAAGATCATTGCTGGTGTGCGTGCTCAGGAGGGATCGTTGGGTAAGAAGAAGGCTGTTCAGGCTGCTAGTACTAGTTTGGGTCGTGGGGCTTTGCCTGGGCTGGGGGCGTGGAGGTGATCTATAGAGGATATATCCTTTATCTTTTGATGAGCTGCATATTGATGGATCTGAGGAACGTTGTGTCCCATTTGGTCTATCTAAGGCGTTCTGGTTACGCATTCTAGACTTGCTTTCGCGGGATTTGGGAGTACTGTTTTAGACTTCCGGTTATGCCTTCTAATGATATATTGAGTGATGTGATTGTACATTGTGAAGTTTTGTAAAGTCCAATAGTTGAATTTTTTTCTTTCGGAAACGAAAGTGAGCATCCAGCTCTCATAGTGTGATCATACCCCAAAGGGTGATGAGTCCCGAGTAACCATTCCTGTTGTAACTGATGCAAGGTGGTGCTGTTCAATTCTAAGTCCGGTTTGCCTCTGGAGAGATCGATGGAACCACAGTGACTGCGGTGAGTTGGTTTTAATCCAACATATCGCGATCAAAACAGAGTTTCGTTCTTCATTTGGGTTTCCGTACCTCGGCTCATTTGCCTGGATCGGCTGCTACCAGCCATGTTTGTTCCATTCATAAGCCTTTGAATAGAATCCAGAGTCTTGCTTGTCGACTATATTGCATTCGAAAGGGAATTGTTTGAGCAGGAGAGGTAGGGAAGTTTTCACGTCTTCGAAGTTGCTTTAACCCTCAGAAGATCTCAACCATGCTCTGATGATGCTCGAGTTCTGATGGTAATGGAAATTCATGAGTCCTCTTCTTTGTCATGTGCGGTCCGCGTTCGGAACAACTTGATATAGTTCACGTGGAACTTGGCGTATTGTATGACATGAGTCTTCAGGTGATATTGGTGGGCAGTCGTATTGCTCGACTCAGTACCTGGGCTATGAACGAACACCGACGGGCAATCCAATCGCGGGCTGGACTGAGTTGCACCAGCTCGATTCCGAATTGGATTATAGCTGCGAGGTGAATGCTTTCTGGCTTGCGTATTCAAGCGATCCTTCCACTCCCTGCGGGTGTATCTCTGCACAGTATGTTATACTGTGGTACGTGATTAGTTTCCGAAGCTCTAAAAGCAACATCCAATCACCATTTACAGACGATGGACATCGTAGGAATAGTACCAGGTGTGGGGTAATATAGCGCCATGACCAATCCAGAGCTAGATATGTATCGGGAGTAAGGCTGATTTGCATACCCCAGGTGATCAGCGTGCTGATTCGAACAGAATACTGTATTTTGACATCGTTTGAATTTGAAGATTGTTTCTGAAGAAATTCGAGGGATACAAAATTAAGAAAACTATCGTTACCTTAGAGATTATGATCATTGAGGAAGCTACCCTCCATCGCTGCCGCCAGAATAAACAGGTTGGATGTCATGTGACTTAAACCACATGGTTATGGAAATTTGCCCTAGCGGAAAGCCCTAGCCCTGGTCACATGAGCGCGCTAGCGCGACCCACAGAAACTTCATAAGTTGCATCCACACGAACTTTCTCCTTTCTCATCCGTCAACCGTCAATCAGCGCAATCCCAGTCGACAAAATGGTGGTGAGTACATAAAATGTCTCTTGATAACAGAGACTTCTTCTAGTTCTCTCTCGCGATGTCTCACGACATTCGCTTTGCTTCAGATCTCTGATCTAAGCAATTCCGCCGATCGCGCACAGCCTCGAAAGAGATGTGTCGCGATCGTGTGATGATTTTGGCTGGAAGCATGGAGTCAATGCCCGTAACACGGCTTGGCTCATGTTCTCCTTAGAGTTCAAAGAAGATGCAGCACTATGTGAACAGCACGCTGATCTTCTTTCCTCAATGATAGCCTCCTACTAAGTCCGGAAAGAAGACCGCCGCTCTGCCCTACCCCCAGGGCAAGGCTGGCACTGGCAAGAAGGCCGCCAAGGTTCGTTTTCTCTTTCCCTTAGGAGTGCATTGAGTCCTGAAGACGCTAACCTTTCGTACACAGAACCCCCTTATCGAGAAGCGCACTCGCAACTTCGGTATCGGCCAGGACATCCAGCCCCGTCGCAACCTCTCCCGCTTCGTCAAGTGGCCCGAGTATGTCCGTCTTCAGCGCCAGAAGAAGATCCTGAACATGCGCTTGAAGGTTCCTCCTTCCATCGCTCAGTTCCAGGCTACTCTCGACCGCAACACCGCTGCCCAGACCTTCAAGCTCCTCTCCAAGTACCGTCCTGAGACTAAGGCCGAGAAGAAGGAGCGTCTCGTCCAGGAGGCCACCGCCGTCGCCGAGGGCAAGAAGAAGGAGGATGTCTCCAAGAAGCCCTACAACGTCAAGTACGGTCTCAACCACGTCGTCGGACTCGTTGAGAACAAGAAGGCTTCCCTCGTCCTCATCGCCCACGATGTTGACCCCATTGAGTTGGTTGTCTTCCTGCCCGCTCTCTGCCGCAAGATGGGTGTCCCCTACGCCATTGTCAAGGGCAAGGCCCGTCTCGGCACAGTCGTCCACAAGAAGACCTCCGCCGTTCTCGCCCTGACCGAGACCCGCGCCGAGGACAAGGCCGAGTTCGCCAAGCTCCTCTCCGCCATCAAGGAGGGTTACACCGACAAGAACGAGGAGGCCCGCCGCCACTGGGGTGGTGGTATCATGGGTGCCAAGGCCAACGCCCGCATCGAGAAGAAGCAGAAGGCTCTCGATGCCGCCATCAAGGTTTAAATGCTTGTGTAACTACAGCTTTTCTTCCTTTGATGTCTGTTTGACGGGATCGTTTTCTAATCGAAGCGCTCGGATCTCAAAAATAATAAGTTGTTATGGGAAACAACAAGGTGTTCAAGGCTTCGACGATCTATTGACGGCCAATTTAGCTTTAGATGGGTGTGAAAGAGCCCTTTGGCCCTTTTTGGATCCTGTTCTAACAAAAAAAGACACATTTTTTCCCTCACGAACTCCAATGGCCCTATGTACCACTTTTCTGCAGATACCCATGAATGCATTTCTTACCTGTTCAATCTATTGATGGTCTTTGTAGTCCCATCAGAACTAGGCATTCATGTCGTCTGCATGTATTTGTAGTGTATTTGTAGTGTATCTTTTAAATTGCAATGTGAGAGTTCATGTGCAGATATCTATAGATAAATCTCTCGATCGGCGTTTTTCTCAAAATTTTCTCTTCCCTGTGTGGGATTGTGGCACCCGCCAAGAATACCAAGTCTTTTCTAAAAGATAGTTCCGTCTTGGCACATATCTTAAACATCTCTACATACTCCTATCAAATGGTCTTCTATTGAAGAAACAGACCTTGTAGCCGTTTATTAAAGATCTGAGGATTCAAGACGGGGCAGGCTATATATATTCATGGATGGTAGGTGAGAATGAGGGGTAATACCCTTAACATAGCCAGTACACATGCTACTTATGTACAATATATATCTTCCATCCACACAAGACTATCTAGAACTGATTTCCATTGGAATCATACGCATCATGAACCTGCTGTCTGGCATCATACTTGGCCCGTTCCCTATCAAAAAAGTCCAATCCCTTAGACTCAACCTCACGGTCGACAAAGGCACCAGCAAATCCAGCAAGGATCTCCTTGGCCTTTGCATGGCTTTCGGGCTCGCCTATTATAACAAAGAAGTATTAGCATTTCTCTGTCTCTGCTCGACTTTGTCTACCGAATGATTAAAAGCGGGAAGGGAGGGGGTGTATACCGTTCTGAGCAACGTGGTTCTCGTAGGCCTTGGCTGCCTCGTAGCTAGCGGCACCAGCGATCAGCTCGTGGATCACGGATGGATCATGTTCTGGCTGGTCGTTGTAGGTGTTGTAGGCCTGGGCCTGGTTGGAATCGTCTAGGGAGATGTGAGTTAGTGGAAGGTTGGTAGGGAGTAGGGGATAATCACCACTGAACCAGCCCATTTTGAGATGAATTGTTAGGAAAAGTGGGAAGAGAGTATGAAAGAAAGATGTAAGAGAGGAAGAGGAAGAGGGGTAGTCTAGTGGGCTTTTATACTCTTCCACTAGTGTCTGCCACATATACCATTGAGGGGCATGTTCAGAGATATACATAGTCACATACAAAACATCCAGAACATCCAGAGGCAGAAATACATATAGAAATAACAAATGGGTTTACACCCTCAGACCTAAATATCGATAGTCATGAAAAGGATAAAAGACAAGGCTGGTATGAAATTACAGGAAGATCCAGAGGTCCACGGCCAAAGCATAGGAGAAAAAAAAAAAAAAAACAGAGAAACCCAAAAGCCCAGCCCCATGCCCCCAGAAGACCAGAGATGCTCACCGATCTTTTTTTTTAATATGAATGACACTGAGAAACCCCGTCTAAAGACACAAGTTGAAGCAAAAAGCAAGCGAAAAAGGTGTATAGTGTGAAGGACGAGACATAAACGTGATCGCGGTCATTTGGTCATTAACGTTGAGGAGGTCGTGAAAGCCCTTGGCGTACCTGTATATTTTGTTAGCCAGTTCAGACAGAAGTAAACTATATAATCACTCACCTTCATTTGTTCAATTCTCGCCTTCAGTTGGCTGGTGACTTCCGCGGCTCGCTTCCAGTTCTCTGCCGGTTCAGAAGATCTGGGTTGCTGCTGGTCGTCTTCGGTCAGATGTGCGTTGGAGTCTCGGGTTGAGCGTGTGGGGCTGCCAACGGTCGAGTAACCGTATGTAGGGCTCAGATTGCGTCGGCCGAGGCCGCCATTGCGACTGCTGGGTCCTGGTGATTCCATCCCGCTGGACTCCTTCTCCTCACTGGGAGTAGCAGAGGCGTAGCTTCGAGGACGCGAGCTTTCGAAGCGGGATCCCATGTGAAGACCAGATCGTGCAGCAGCATTGCTGTTGCCGATGTGGTCTTGATACATGGAGTTTGTGTCTGGCATGCCCATGCTTCCGGCATCGGAGATAGCGTTAGGTGGGCTTACGGCAGATGCGCGAAGTGCTCGTGCGAGTTCACGCTTCAATCTTTCGATCTCTCTCTGCTGTTTTTGAACACTCCCCTCCGCAGTTTCTGCGTCACTCCGTGCTCGAACAAGTTGAGTCTCTTTCGCCTTGATGCTTAGGACATCGCGGGTGTGGTCTTCAATCAGCTGTGCATTCTGGTTCTGAAGTTCAGTGATCGTTGAGTTGAGCCTTGAACGCTCAGACTTCATATCTTCCACTGTTCGGTACAGGTTTTCTTTCTCCGCCCGTAGTTCTTCCAACTCAGCACGCTTCACCTTCTCCGCCCGTAGTTCCTCTAACTCAGCACGGTCGGCAGCTGCCATAGCATTGGCGGCAGGTTCAGCAGGCGCCGAAGGTCTGGCAATGGGCCGACCCGCAAGGCCACGACCAAGACCGAACTTAGGAGCGGCTGGTGGGGGAGCCACATCCTCTTCCGGGGGGCAGCAACTCGTCTTGATGGCGATGCAGTGGTTCCAGGGCCAGCAAGCTTCCGTTGCAGTTTGAGAGCTGATCCAGGAGTTGTAAGGCCGGGCTTAGGAGCACCGAGCTTCGAAGGGATTCCTCTGGATGCAGGCTTGACTGGGGGTTCTTCTGGGGCAGGTGGAGCGGCTACAGGGGCTAGTTTTTTCAGTCCCGTTGCCGGCGGCCTCTTGCCAACGACCTTCCTGGCAGCCGGGGCAGCGGGCTTTGGGGGCGCCACAATAGCCTTGGGTCGCTCCTTGGCCTTGACTTCGGCGGTTCCGAAGTACTCTTTGATTTTGGTTTTACGAATCTCGTCAAGACCATCGAGATACGGGTTCATGGCCCGTTCACCCAGAATCTTCATTAATGTACCCAGAATTTCAGCAGCTCCTTCACGGATTGCCGGAGCTGACTCGGTCAATAGCTTTGTGCCGGCATCAGCGATCGCTTTCTGCTCTGCCTTGGCTGGTACTATCCGGGTTGTGCGCAAGCAGCGAACCAAAAACTTGACAGTTTCCTGCTTGATCTGTGGGTTCTTGTGCTTGAGATACTCGAAGATTTCCTCCAAGCAGTCCGTAAGCGTTGTCGTCGTGAAGACAGCATCCAACGCCTGGCCCAAAGCATCTGCGACAGTCGTTTTCTTTTCTTTCAGACGTTCAAACATGGGTGCCATAATGACGCTTCGGTATTTGGTGAATCCGTTGCGAAGACCCCTGGCCAACACGTCCACGCAGTTCGCAGCTACCGTGGCGACAGCGACGTTAGCGTCCTTCATGGATTTGGCCAATCCCCTCACGATCTCATCGTAGGGCCCGTCCTTGATTCGGGGAACGTTGATAACGTTATAGAGAGCGTCCAAAGCTTCCTTGCGGTCCTTCCATTTTGCCGAGGCCAATTGATCATGGAAGTTTTCAGGGATTTTCTTCATGACATCAACCGGCTCCGCCAGGTCGAAGGCATCAACAACCACCACATCCTCCTCCTCGTCAAACTCGTCGCCGGCTGGTTCTACACCGTCCTCGCCTGCCGGTGCAGCACTGGCCGCGGCCATGGCATCTTGTTGTACCCGAGTAAATCGCTCTTGCTTCGGCGTGGGGTCCTGCTTCACGGCTTCGAATAGTTTCTCTAGATCTCCCTGTTGCACGGGTTTCAAATCGGCCCAGAACAGAGGCTTGATGGCCTCCCGCAGCCACCGATAGAGTTCCACGGTCAGATTTTGTGCTTCCGCGCGGACATTTTTATCGGCATGACCAAAAACCTTGGTCAGCGCCTTCAACGTTTGCTTCGGGTCGACGATCTTGCAGCCGAAGTTGTGATAAATGAGGGTCAAGGCCGCGAGAGTGGCGGCGATCACCTTAGGTACTTTGTGTGATAGTATAGGTAGTAGTTCTTCGATCACCGGATCGGCCTTATCCAATTCGACGCATAATAACAGAGCTTCCTGGGCGCTCGCTTTACCGGCCGGTCGTGTAGATGGGAGACCTTTCTCAGCAATTGGTCCAATTGTATATGTGCGGGATCTATAAAGGAGAATAGTGTTAGTGGATTCAGGGGCGACCAAGAAGACCGTCGCGACTAAGACCGGGGGTTGACGCACCTCGTGCAGGCCTGGCCTCCTCCGAATTTCAAAAAGGCGCAGTATGCTGCAAGACCTTCTGACTGTGCTGCGACGTTGGAATCTGCCACTGCCCCTTTCCAAAGGCCGGGATCTTGTATGAATGGTACGAAGACCGGATGTGATTCATCTGGGGTCTTTTCAAATTGCGCTTTCGCATCTTCGTATCCCTCCTTTCGGACTTTCCAGTTCTGTATATCGTTAGACTTTTCAGTGATCCTGTCGGTCTAATTACGCAGGAATGAGCGCACCTTGTGAGCGAACCGGTCGGGTAAGGGTAAGGAGGAGAAGTCCTCTGTGGCTTCAGCCATTCTGACGGGCGAACGGGGAACTATCGGCTGGAAACGGAAGGAGTCAGCACGTTTTGCAGTGTACGATCAGAACTGTGCATTGCATCAAAGCAGGTTCCGGAGAAAGATATAAAAGGTCCTGAGTTGGTCGCGGGGAGTGTCTCGGGGGTGAGTTCAGATGGGCGTACTGTGTTGGGTGCCCAAAGGGTATGAAAGACAAATTTGTCTTGGTCAATAAGACAGCGATCCTGACTAGAGCAATATGCAAGTCAAAATATCAAATGTACATTGACAGGGGGTTGAAGATATTAGTCGAAACGGTTAAAAGAAAATAAACAGTTGGAAGTTGAAGAGAAAGTAAACAAAAGCCTTGGCAGATTGTTTTGTTAAATCCCCCGCGGTGGATCACAACTTCATATTTATTCTCTTCTCTTCTCTTTTTTCTGTTTCTTCTCCTTCTCTTGGGATCAATTCGTCAATTCGCCAATTCGCCAGCTCACAAACCCTTTCAACTCCCCTTTATTTCGATACCGCTCCCGCTTTCCCCCTCCAACAGATTTCCGAACTTGGTGTATGCGCATTTGGATAAGGGAAAGCAGAGAGCACATATAACACCATGAGCCAACTTCTTACGTCGCGACAGGCGGAGGAGCTGTATGTGACCTGAGTTGCTTCATTTAGGGGGTGATCGCTGATGGTGTTTCGCGACAGACATAAAGGAATAATCGCCTACCTCACCTCTGTGAATTTGCACCACAGCTCCGCCGCTTTACGAGAAGAACTAGGCGACTCGATCCGAGTCGACGATATCACACTAAAGAAATATGAGGGGCTGTTGGAAAAGAAATGGACGAGCGTAGTCCGTTTACAGAAAAAGGTGCGAAGACCGGGCACAATACCAGCCTTCCTCGTGTTAACATGACATTCGGTATAGATAATGGACTTGGAAGCACGATGCGCTGCACTCCAGTCTGAGCTGGACACCGCTACCCCGACTTCGCTGAATCGCAAAAATCAAGACCCAGTCTCCTGGCTGCCTCGAGCACCAGCGCGCCACGACCTCCAATCACACCGAGCGCCAGTATCGTGTCTCGCTTTCCATCCAATATTCTCTTCATTGGCCTCCGGCTCAGACGATACCACAATCAAAATCTGGGACTGGGAGTTGGGTGAACTAGAGCGCACAATCAAAGGACATACCAGGGCAGTGTTAGATGTCGATTATGGAGGACCGCGCGGAGGCACACTTCTTGCATCATGCTCGTCAGATCTGACGATCAAGTTGTGGGACCCGGCTGACGAGTATAAGAACATCCGAACGCTACCAGGACACGACCACAGTGTTTCAGCAGTTCGGTTCATTCCATCCGGAGCTGCAGGGTCTCCAATGTCAGGAAACCTGTTAGTTTCAGCTTCTCGCGATCTCACACTGCGCATATGGGACGTCACAACTGGATATTGTGTCAAATCGATGCAGGGCCATGGGGACTGGATCCGAGATGTTACACCATCCCCAGACGGCCGGTTCCTCTTCTCCGGTGGAGATGACCGAGTTGCACGTCTGTGGGATATCTCTTCGGGTGACACAAAGTCAACATTCTTAGGCCACGAGCACTATATCGAGTGTGTGGCCTTTGCCCCGCCAACAAGTTACCCTCACTTCGCAGCCCTTGCAGGGCTAAAGAAGCCACCGCCAGCATCATCCTCCGCCGAGTTTGTGGCTACTGGTTCTCGCGATAAGACTATTCGTCTCTGGGATACCCGCGGAAACTGCATCAAGACTCTTATTGGCCACGACAATTGGGTCCGCTCATTGGTTTTCCATCCCGGCGGGAAATACCTTATCTCGGTAGCTGATGACAAGACCATGAGGTGCTGGGATCTCACGCAAGAATGCAAGTGTGTGCGAACGATCGTGGCCCACGAGCACTTCATCAGTTCGCTTCGGTGGGCGCCGCCTTTGGTTAAGGATGCCGGTGCAAGCGAGGGTGCGAAGGGTGCCGAGGCTACGTCTAACGGGGCGAAAGAAGACCCCAATGCGACAAAGATGTCCATTCGATGTGTCCTGGCGACTGGCAGTGTTGATCTCAAAGTCCGGGTCTGGGCAGCATGATTTTTGGTTTGAGTTAGCACCGAGGAGCCATGAGAAAGAAGATGAGGTCGGGCAACACCGAAAGCTGGAGATAAATAAACCCCCATGCTCAATTGATGAGGGAGCACCATGTCTCTCGGGGTCATAACTCCAAGCTGAAAGGTTCAGGATTTGACGGGCACATTGCCGTTTCTGGGTAAAGGAGTTGGTTATTCTTCCGTGATACCAGTGACTTTCTTTCTGTTTACGAATGATTAGGGTTTTGGGCTAGACAATTTCGTCTAGGCTAAACCCATGTTTATGATGTACACTGTTTTTTTTTGAATTTTGACATGTATGGGTGGTTCCTCTACTTCCTTTCCCCATACATCCTTTAGACCTATGTATCTTTACATATGCACCTTTACCGGATTTTCCCTGGTGGGGCTTTCCTATTTGAGCTACCGCCGCTTTTATGAGGGTGCTCAGACTCAGTCTGAGTAGATGCCAACACGGGCTCAGATCAGTGATCATGCTCACCTGGGCAGTTCAGTCGCGTGCAGAATGACCGATCATCAGTGCTTAGTAAGTGCTCGTTAGTTAGAGTCATCTATATCTGCCATTTATACCATCCATACATTGTCGTACAGTCAGATTTCTGTCAGTAAGTGATGCATATTCATTGATCTTACCATAGCTTGCTTTACACTCTGAATTCTGTCATATTTGACACCTTATGAAAGGTATGGGAAAGTACGGTAGGATGGCTATAAGTCCAGATGATCACAAATTCAGGATTTGAATTTGGATTGTCTCCAGAGCAGCAAAGCCTCATAAACAAAGAAAATAGGCTACCTAAAACTTCCAATTAGAAGTATCAGGTTTGTTACCCCATTCAGACCAATTGACCTTTTTGGGTGGCTTAACTAGGTCGAACCAGTAGGACTTTGCCTCACTCCAAGGCGTTGGCTTAACCTCAATACACTGACGGAAGCCGACCATAAAACTATAGGCTATAAATTAGTAAATCCCTTTGGAGCAAGCACAGTGCAACTGCTAAGTCATTTGGATTAATAAAATTGAAGGAGCAGGGTACGGAAACACAATGATGGCATGGCGAAGAGGGAGAAAGTTAATAGCTAAGTGATGCAAGAGAATAGTGAACTTGTATGTTTGGCATATGATATCCTATTGCTTTCCATTATTTCTTTATTCCTATAGGTCTATTTCTTATGTTCCTTCATCCTCTATTGCTATTGGTCTTCTTCATTTATTTCCTTTTCAAGGTTGTTCCTATTGACCATATCGCCGTAAATAGTCCATCGTCTACTATACTTACTGGCCGAATGGCCTGCACCGAAAGTACTAAGAGCTTGTCTGACACTATACAGAGACAGCACTAGTGAGAGCAGTATCCACTCCAGTCGATCCGAATAGCAGCTGTGCGAGGCACAAATATCTTATATAGAAGGTATAATGCCACCCATAAAAATAATTATAAATATCAAATATGTACATACCGCAATTTAAAGTTACGGACATACTAGTCAAATCAGGTGTGCGGGATAACTCACGAATAGGCTACCGAGAGCTGACCACTTCACTAGTTAGTAGGCCTTGACGAGTCCCACAGCACTGGTGCTGCAGAGATAGTCCGGTCGTAGCACTAAACCCTCGGTCCTGTGCTGTAGTGCTACGGCGGGAGTGCTATAGCTACATTGGCTTTATGTTACTTTGCAAATCCTTGTTTCGATAGTCGGACACAGATGATGTGCGGACAGTATGATTCATATTGAGGAAAACATATAAAACAAACATAAAACTCAGAACTAGGTATCAACAGTCCAAACACCTCGCAACCCAATGTCAGGGCGAGGGTTTACGAGTGAGCACAGGGCCAAGTGCATCATCCCCTTGTCCAGTATACTCATCATCATGGTAGATCAAAGTTCATAACTGTATATAACTACTCAGGGACGTGCTCGGTTTTACTTAGTGATCAAAAAGCGGCAAGAGGTGAGCACTAAAATGGAAAGGGAAAGGTCTCGAGTGCCTGGCAGTATCCGGTACATATGTAGTTGGAAGATCCACCCATAAATACAACATCTCACAATGTAAATGAAAATAGATTGAAGCGGTATAATACAGTACATAACCTCCGATATGCAACACGAGGGCCAAAGGACAAGACAGTTCAAATACTGAAGCCCGTCCCAAAAAGAGCTAAACGTACACTTCTTCAGTCAAAGCTAAAACTGCTCATTGCTCAGCCTCCTTCATTCTCTCCTGAGTAGTCCTCTCACTCTCCGCCACTCTCTCCTGCACAATCCTCTTAACCTTCCCGATCCGCTCATTCTCCGCATGAATCCGATGAATCAACTGCGCAGTAGAAAGAACCTGACCCTCAGGCACAGGAACACCAGCCTTAGCTGCCTCCTGCACAAGATCAACCTCACGACCAAGCCGTTTCGACTCACGGCGGAGATACTTCGCCGCCCAGCGGGTCTCACGCTCAGCCTCACGCTGCTCCTTCGACAAAACAGCAGGACGGTCTTCAATCGCCACGCCGAAGGGAGTGACGATGCGCTCGACGACGTGGTGCACGTTTCGGCTCTTGGGCGCGCCGGACGAGAACTCGATTACGTCGCCGTCGCGGAGGGAGTTGCAAGGGTCGGACACTAGGTAGTGTGTTTCCTGGGGATAGAACTTGCGGATGTGTCGGTCCCAGAGGGTGTGGCGGTGGCAGACGCCCACCGTGCGGTCCATGCGGCCGACGGAGACTACGGTGCCGGTTTTCAGGGCTGAGGCGTAGTTGCGAAGTCGGGAGGGCGCTTGTGTGTCTGTGCCCTTGGTCTTGGGTTGTGTGGGAGTTGGGGTGGTTGTTGAGGCGTTGCGGAGGGGTGTGGTGAGGTATCTGGTTGATTGGAAGATTGAGGGGCGTGTCAGGGACAGAGGTGTCGTGATTGAGGCGCGGAGAGGCATTGTTGCCCGGAGGAGGTGGCTTGGTGCCATTGTTGGTGGGGGAGCAGGCGGTTGCTCTTCGGATGATATTTGGGTGGGATTGGAGAAGACGAGGGATTGGAGATGGTCAAGCACGCGAATGGTTTATGGTAGTGGTGACCGCCCAAATGGTTGCGAGCTTGCGGTGTTTGCAGTTGAGGATTTCGAGAATTTCTCGGGGAAGCATGTTTGCACTGTTTGCACTCTAGTATAAGACATCGACTTGGATGGACTCGGGAGTAACTGGGCTATTTGATAGCAAAATCTTCATAAATAAGTACGTAGATTGCATCTGCACTTCTTATTGTTTATATATGTCTTTAGAGTGTCTAATTCACCTAAATAGATTTCCCAACCCCTACCTCGGCCCTCATAGATACCGCTTTTGAGATCATCACTGTCAAGAATCTCAATTTATGTGTTTTTTTCATTTTGTAAATGCATTTTTTTGTATCTTCTACTCTATAACAGAGCGGAAAAGAAAGCCATATAGTGAAAAATGATTAGTCCGAACGGAGCAATTTCAAGATAGATGCAAAGAAAGCTTGCCCTAAATGCGGGTGTAAAATCAACTAGAACTTGATTGGTATCAACTTTCCCTCACTACTGGACTCTAGGGCTTGTCATTTTACATTGTCAGATACATAGTTTTGCATCGGACAGCGCTATAGCTCCAACCGGCTTCTAAGAGGACCTCGGGTGCGCAGAATGGTAAAGGTTGGATCTCATGATTATGTGGTGTTGTCACATTGCCAAAGACGGCGGCACTTAAGTCAAATATCTTTAGTAAACCAACTCTCTTCATTAGTGGTCCAAAGTCTGGTCTGGAATGACAGATAGGACGTCCATTCCGGAATACATGCGGTGCGGGATCGAGCTCTTGCTGGCGAACATAGTATTTCTTGGGGTCGTAAGCAGCGACTTGTTCCTCCTCTATGGGCGACGAGAGGGAGATTCTCGGGAGAAGGACGACCTTGGACATAAGAGATATCCAGGGTGAGAGATTTTCCGAAGGGATTGTCGAATTAAGGTAATTTGGTTAACAATAGATGATCAAACAAGGCCTCATATTAGTGCAGGTGGCTTTGCTCACTGATTGGACACTGGGAATGATTCCAGGGCTGGAATGAGCAGAGCCAGTTATTACACACGTAACTGGCCTGGTATTGTTTCCTTTGAGTATCACTTTGCACAAGGATAAGATATATTTAAAGCTATTTTGATCTCCAAGTACCATAGGTCGATTATATCAAAGGTTAAACTTGTCTAGTTTCCCCAACTCACCAAGTCTCAATTACAAGCGACGAGGCAGCTCTACAGAAAAAAAAAGTAGAGAGAGTAACACAAACGTGTGAAAACACAAAGAAACTTCCCCAAGGACACAAGACCCAGTTTGGCTTGTTTGTTCATGTTCGCTGTCTCCCCTTTGGGATATAGTCACACTCTGCCCTGATTTCCGACTGGGAGGAACCATTAATCCAGCTCGGGATATGTTTTGTAGTATAAATCTGGTCTAGGAGGAAACCCAACCTGTATACAGAAATCAAATTTAGAAAGAAAAAGAAAAGCAGAAACCAACAAGAAACCTCTAAGAAAATACATTTCGCCTCATCCATGTTCGTGAAGGCCATCTAAGTTTCATTTGAAAGACCCCGTTCCGACAAAGCACCAGGAAACTGGGAACATGTCTCGGAAGAGGAACATCAAAAGATTATTACGCGTCTTTCGTGGGTAGCACATCGCCTTCGACTGCATCCTCTTCCGCCAATTTCTTGGATTGGAATTTATCGGCAGAGTGTGCTGATATCCGGGTGAGTTCGGTGACGAAGGACTGGCCCCAGAATGCGCTAGAAGAAATGGTCAGTCGGGAACGAAATACAAGAAACAAGGGATGATCTGGGAGGGTTGACAAGGAAACGTACCTGGTGTACTTGGACACGTATCTGTCCAACTTGGCAAAATTGAGAGCCCTCTGTTCGTCGCTCATAGTCACGGCTTCTTGGTAGGCGCCTGCCAATTCTTCAGTGTTCCAGGGGTTCACAATGATACTGCCGTTCAGACTCTGGGCAGCTCCGGCGAATTCGGAAAGCACCAACACTCCGTGGCGCTTCTGTTGAGTGGCGATGTACTCGTACGCCACCAAGTTCATGCCGTCACGGGTAGATGAGACAATGCAGGCATCTGATACGGCATAGAGAGCGATGAGCTCGTCGAAGTTGACGGACTTGTGCAGGAAGTGAATAGGCTGGAACTCGACGGTGCCTTGAAAAACGATTAGCCTCGTTCAGAATACCAGACGAAAATACTAACCAAACTTTCCATTGATCCGACCAACCAGTTCGTTCACCACGGCCCTCAAATTCTGGTACTCCTCAACATCCTGCCGACTGGGAACGGCAACTTGTACCAGCACGACCTTTCCAACCCATTCTGGGTGGTCGCTGAGGAACACTTCGAGCGCGTGCAACTTCTGGGGCACGCCCTTGATGTAATCAAGACGGTCGACACCGACCATCAACTTCACACCCTGGAACTTCTGCTCCAGCATGGCAATACGCTTCTGGACCTTCTCCTTCTTCAATCCTTCCTTGAACTTCTCAGGGTCAATACCAATGGGGAAAGCTCCGCATGTGATAATCTTGCCCTGGAACTCAATGCCGTTGGGCGTAGTTGCAAGTCCCCTGATCCAGTTAGATATAGACTCTAGATTGTGTAGGGTATACTAACAGTAGACGCGAGCAACTGCTCAGGAAATGGCGGGTGTAGTCGTAAGTGTGGAAGCCGATCAGGTCGCAATGCAGGACACCCAACAGCAATTCATTCCGCACGGGGAGGATTCGGTAGATCTCGCTACTAGGGAACGGTGTATGTAAGAAGAAACCGATCTTCACGTTCTTCTTGCTGTCGCCGATCTCCTCGCGCAGCATCTCAGGAAGCAGCATCAGGTGGTAGTCGTGAACCCAAATCAGGTCACCATCCTGTACTTCCTTGGCAATAGCCTTGGCGAACAAACGATTTGCTTCCTTGTAAGCTTCCCAGGCGGACTCGTCGAAGGTGATCTCGCCAGGGTGGTAATGGAACAGAGGCCAGAGGATGGAGTCTATCCAAGAAACCAAAGTATCAGTATACATTCTAGGAACTTCGCGGGGAAGAGTAACTGACTGGAGAATCCATTGTAGTGTCGATCTGCCAGTTCATCATCGATGAATACTGGCACAGCACCGTATTCTTCCTTGAGGCGCTGCGTCACGACGGGAATCTCGGGCTCGGGCACCTCCAGACCGGGCCAGCCGTACCACTGAAATGTGGTTGATTTTGAGAGGCCACTCAGACCACTGACTAACCCTCCCGAAGACATTGAGAAATCATATTTTCCATCATCAGACCGCTTGATCGTGATCGGCAGACGATTTGAGACCAGAAGCAGGCGAGCTTCGTTCTTGGGCTCGATCGAAGGCATGATTATCGGGAAGGGAAAAGATTATATTAGAGAGGTATGTTGCAGGCACAAGGGATTCCTGTAGAGGCAGTTAGGACTGAATTTCGTAGGCGGGGAAACCTTGGAGATCATGACGAATGCGAACCAACCTTTGGAACAAGTGGGGATATTCACTCCGGATGAGCAACAGACTAACAATTTGTCTCCATAAGTAGATACTAGATAGTAATTTCAAAAAGGTCGAGGCTTGTGAAGAGTAAAAAAAGAAAGAAAGGAAGGTGAGCAAGGCGGGGGGGGGGGCACGGAAATGCGAACGTCACTGGAACTACGTGTGGACCTCAATATCGCTCACATGGGGGACAGTGAAAAAAAAATTTATGAAAAGCAAGGAAAAAAGCAAGGAAAGGTTCTTTATTGTAATCTGGAAAGATATTTTCAGGTTTCCAGGCAGGTTTCTAGTCATTTTGACTCCGCATTGGAGGATCGTACAGGCCCAGTCAGGTGATCGCAATCTTCACATGAGCGTGTCTTTTTTATTTTGGATGTCTTCTAGATGTCTTCTAGATGAATTTTTATAAGTATTTCTAGATGTCTTATAAGTTTTTTTTTTAGATGCCAATTTCGATGGATATTTATAGATCTTTCTAAAGGTCTTTTAAGTGCCTTCTCACGTCATTTTAGATGCCTTAGATGCCTATAAGTCTTTTCAAGGGTCTTTCTAGGTATCTTTTTATGTTCTTTACCTCAATTTGATAGAAAGATGAAAATGTAAAAATCAGGTGACCGTCGCACAGCTCGCATGGCCCAGTGGTAAGGCGTTCGTCTCGTACTTGCTTAAGATACTTAACGAAAGATCCCCGGATCGATCCCGGGTGTGAGCATTAAGGGATTTTTTTTATCCCCCTCCCTTTACATTGGAATGCTAAAGTGTTGGTAAAAACGGAGGTAGCCATTTTCGGCTGATGTATGTACCATCAATTAGCGTTGTGGTGTGCCAAACGTCTCTACTAGTATAACCATGGTCATCACAAAGCCGACCTCTCACCCGCAAGACTCCATTTCCCATCCGAGTCAAGAACCGTCCGTCCCTCATCCTCAAGCTTCATCAGCACCTGCAACACACCACGGGAAGCAGGCAGATGCAGAGACTCAGGAACGTCGCGGTAAATGCGCTTAACCAATTCAATAGGCGTCCACGCTTGCTTGCTTTCCGGGGAGGCCTCGCCAGCCTCGACATCAAGCTTTCCAAATCGTAGAACGCGTAGGACCTCGTCTTCACGCTGCTGTCGGTGCTTGATGTACTCGGTGATCCGCGTGCCGGCGTTCTCCATCACCGCTCCGTGGCCTGGGTACCCCCGGCCTGCGGAGACGCGGTCGCGCATGCGATGGAGACTGCTGAGGTAGGTCTTCAGGTCTTCAAAGACGGCTGTGCCGTGGCCTAGGACGTCTGTGGGTTTGGGTTAGATGTGTCATTATATAGGGATATTGTGTATCGTGTTTTATTGGTGGAAGGGAAGGAAGGGTTGGATGAATATAACCCGATATAAGGACACTTACTGTCACCCGTGAACAT